GGCATATCTCTCGCCCATACGCACAAACGCACACAAACGCGCGCTCTCTCTCTCTCTCTCTCTATCTATCTATCGTTATCTCTATCTTTCTATATATCTCTCTATATCTCTATCTCTATATCTCTATCTCTCTCTATCTGCCTCTGTCTGTCTCTCTCTCTCTCTCTCTCTCTCTCTCTCTCTCTCTCTCTCTCTCTCTCTCTCTCTCTCTCTCTCTCTCTCTATCTATCTATCTCTATATCTCTATCTACCTCTGTCTGTCTCTCTCTCTCTCTTTATCTCTCTCTCTCTCTCTCTCTCTCTCTCTATCTGCCTCTGTCTCTGCCTCTGTCTCTGTCTCTGTCTCTATCTCTGTCTTTCTCACTGCCTTGACACGGCTTCCCCGGACCTCTATTTCCTCTTCCAGTTAATATTCTTTTTGCGATGATCTCGTGCGCCAACACTTACTTTTATCCAAAAAACTGGATTATTATTATTAGATTGTGGTCGGAAATGTCGTGTATGTATGCGCGCGCGTGCGTGTAGTTTAGCTTGCATGCGATTCGTTAAGAAAAATGACAGGGAAGCTTGATTTTCTTTGATAGCAGCCATTCATTGCTTGCTTCAATTCGTAATCATATGCTCGTTGTGTGCGTGTGCGTGAGCGTGTGCGTGTGTGAATTAGCGTTGGTTCTGGGAGTGTGCAACATTATGGCACAGTGTGCGGTGTAGGGTTACTTATATCTAGCCATAATAAATAGACACGCGTGAGCAGACTCAATTATTGCTATGGCACGATTTTATGAATAGTCGATAGAGAATTGCGTGAAAATAGTCCAAAGAAAACATGTATTATCTATAAAGTGAAACGAATTATATCTATTTTTAAAAAGAAAAATTCTGTAAAAATTCTGCTTTTATAAATGTTAGGGAGCATATTTTGTAATCGAGACGGTATTTAATCAAATTAAGACATTTACATGTTAAAAATGCGGGTGTAGCAAACTTATTAAGCCCGAGCAGATAATGAAAGATGTGTAAAATTTCTAAAAGCGGAGCAGCATTTTTTTTTTTTTTTTTGTAAAATTAATCATTTCTATTTTTTAAATTGGTTAAGACAGAGTCAACAATATGGTTAAATTGATTATTTAACAACATGTTATTATTATGTTATTGTCTGGAGTACCAATAAAAGAGCTAACCGTTAACAATAACTGATAATTTGGATAAATTTATTAAGAAAATTTAGAGTGCTTTACATAAGAATGTGATATATAGAATTGAAGTTATTGAAAATTTAATAAATATTATTCATCAGACTGATATCTTATTCGTAAAATTATGTTAAACATAATACAGAGAAATTAATCATCGTTCACACGTTTCTCACATACTTTTATTGTTTAATATAATAATTTATTGAGAAATTACTTTTCTAAAATTATAAAAAAAATATTCTCGGTCACGTGACCATTAGCCTTTTAATTAAACATTTAAATACTATTGACGTGTGCTTATGGTCTATCGATTTTTCTTGCATATACGTATAACAATTCAGTTAATAATATTGTTGTACCTTGTAAAATTATCATTTATTATTATTAAGCCCAATGAGAAATAAAATTTTTTATATAAAACTAATATTTTATGCCAGCTAATATTAATTAATGCTCAAAATATTCTTATCTTACTTACAATACTTATTATTATTATTTTCATAGAAAATATATTGATTAATCTTGTGGCTAAGTACGTGTAAAAACTAAAATACGAAACAAGTTCATGATAAATGAAAGAGTAAAATTAATTAACAAAAAAGATACAAGTAAAATTAGTAGGGTTCGACTAACTATTAACCACCAATCACTCACTGTTCGCATAGATTTTCGTTTGAAAGGTATTGCAATTTTTTTTTTTTTTTTTTTTTTTTTTCTAAAACAAAACATTGTTTTTTATTGTATTTTAGCATAAAATTTTTTGTTTTAAATAATATACACATGAGAAATATATATTTTTCAATTGTATTTATTTTTAAATATTTATTCGACATAAGTATTTGTTTTTTAGATGAATATAAAAAAAAAAAAAAAAAAAAAAAAAAAAAATTATCGCTCCGATTTAGATTGCTGAAATTTGGATTGATATTTATGAATTTTGTGTGAAATTTCTATAATTAAAAATTATATTTATCATATAACGTCATATTCGATATATAATTTGAAATGATGAATGAAAATGTCGATTAAAATATAATTTATAATCAATTCAAATTCCTATTTAAAACGAAATGATAATAATAATCATAATTAATAAATAATAAATAATAACAGCAACAATAGTAATAATCCTTATTAAAGAAAACTAATAATATATTAATCGTTTGTTAATAATTCTTACATTTGCATTTGTATGTGATTCTTCTTGATGAAAAATAATCAAAAAGATACAGCCAATACTTTTCAAATATAAACATTTGTTTAAGCCATAAGAAGTTATACAAATTTATTTTTCTTCTTTGAAAGCTACTTTATGATGAATAAATAAATTTAAACATCATAACTACTAACATTTTAACTATTAAAGAATTTAATTTATAATTTGATATAAAATTTATGGCGATACAGGATAATGCATTATTTAGTAATAAAATTCAAATTCAAATTCAAATGCAAATTTTCAAAATTACTATCCATTCTTATTCCATTATGTATAATTTATATGTAGTTGATTTGAGAATTTGAAAATCCAAATGTACCAACCAATGTATTAAACATACGATTTATAGTGATACAGCAGCAAAGTATTTTACTTATATTGTGAGTTTCTTTGAAAAGAAAATGTTCTCACTCTAAACTTTGTGGAAACAGATTCAATGGTCGTCGCACATAGCGTATGTGTAGGTAAACATAGTGCAGGGCCAAAGTGCCAAAGTATTGAGACACGTAATTATTTATGATAATGTATTAACATTGGAATAAAATAGCCGTCAATTTGGATTTTTAATATGATAAATATTGCATTAGTTTGAGAATTTGAAAAATTTAATCAAAACATATTAATGAATAATATTTTGTTGTCGTGTATAGAATAATACGTTTATACAACAAAATTTACATATTAATTGTCGTAAAATAAATAAATATTGATATAGGAGAGAAAGTAAGTAAGGACATAGCTTTGATAATATTTTTCTTCCCCCATAGCGCGACTACTAACTATTAATAAGTTTTAATTGTATTCTTTTATATCTATATCGTGCGTCTATATATACGTTATTAGTAATAATTTTCTTCAATAATGTAATGTTTAATCATATCCCATTGATATTTCATAATATTTTAAGAGATACAATGGGAATCGTTAAAAATATGTTAAATTACGAATTAAAATTAAATCAAAATATTTGATAATTCATCTTGGAAACTATGAAGGATAGGTATCTTTTAAATGTGCTGAAAATGTGAATAAATTAGTTTGTCAATGAATCCATGAAGGTATAAAATTATATAATTGAGTAGTGGTAGATTGAAAATTAGAGCATTTACACTTGTTAAGGTGAATGTTAATTCTTCATGAGTTATATCAATTGTCGAACCTAAATAAAATTATAGTGCTTAAATTATAATAAAAAATGAATTATTCGTGAGAGTGTAAATTCAATATTTGTTATTGCGAGCGTAAAAGTTTTCCAATATAAATTTTTTACTTGTTAAATATATTTTGCCAATTTGAAAATCTTTAGATTGAAAATACTAGTTCGTACGTGTCAAATCAGTACTTCCTCGTGCACAGTCTCATGCTTTGGTTTGGCGCTCTAATCAAATCATTGATAAAGTTGATAAAATATGAATACAAAACATTTGTTCAATTTTAATTTTACGCTGAAATTTCAAGAAGAAGAAATTTCGAAGAATTTCAAAGTCCTATTTTTCATTTATATTCATAATATTACGTAATATATTATTTAATATATTAAATAAATGGAAATTCTAGTATCTTTCGTTAATATTTATGTCCACATATTTTTAAGGATAATATTACGTATTCCAATAAATGTCCATCGCTGTTGATAAAACCCTCATTTTAAAAATGAAGTATTGAGTTGTCAAAAATTAAACGACGTCTATTAAATATACACAAGAAACAGTCTCCTTTTTATCCAGAGAAACAAATTGAATTTCAAAATAGCTATTTCAGGATAGGGAAGCTGGATGGCTTAGGTCTTACTATGAATATTGTATCCAAGGTATCCAATCCCTAACCGCACTTATCAGCGATAAAATCCGACAGAATAATGTGAATTTCCATTGAAATACAATCACAACAGGATTATATTTGCACGAGCAAGTATTTGTGAATGCACCGTATTCTTTATTACCGTTATGCACACCGTTATTTATGCTGTATCCATAGAAATACCTTAAGGATTTCGCACGTGATATTTTGGTGAAACTGGTAGGATGAGCCGAAATGGATAAACAACGTGGTAAGGACAATTTAAGAATATGATAATGTATTATATATATTATTATTTATATTATTTTATTTTATTTTTTTATTTTTTTTTTTTTTTTTTCAAGGAAATTCACATGGCAATTCATTTTATTTTATTTTATTTTATTTAATCTCATGTTCTTCGTAGAATTCTATAACCCTCGTGAAAATCTATCAATTTTTATATGCCTAAAGAAAATGTCTTTTAAATTTATGATGCCATTTTATGTGACAGATCTAACCGCCTATGAGCTATTACAACGTGAAAAGTACTTTTTATGAGAGTCAATCTATACAGTGGCTATTTTGATTTAAGTTTTGACAGCCTTGACGAGTCATCGGTGAGTCATAATTTGCATGACTTTACTACTCCGTTGTATAGTTGGTGAAGCGTATAGTTGTATTAAATATATTATATGTCAATATAGACAGAAAATGATAGGAAATGTCTAATGTAGATTAAATACATTTTAATAAGCTCAAGTAGGCGAAGGGGCTACGAGAGTTATTGAAATAATTTCAATGCTTAGAACAATAATGCAATCATTCAAAATTATTTATATTCCAACACTTATCAATCTTATCAGCAATTTTATTATTATGAATAAAAATATGTTCTATTAATGTTCTATTAATATGTCGTTGAAATTATTAAATATTAAAAACCGCAATACTTACATAAAAATTACTTTTCAATTATTATTTAAAAAATTTTATTTAAAAATTGTACTTTTAACTTTATGTAAAATAATGTATGATATAAGCAAAAAAAAATCTCTATGCATTAGTAATAGTAGCGTAAATATAGCAAATATTTGAAGCTTACATGTATGAACTACATATTGACTATTTTCTTTTTAGATTTCCTAAGCATAGATGCATACTACGAGATTCGTATAGAATTTGAAGGAAAAAAAGAAATCAAGCGTAATTGTAAAACCTTAAGAACAATGAGTATAATAATATTATATAATAATAATAATAATAATGATAATGATAATGATAATGATAATGATAATGATAATGATAATGATAATGATAATGATAATGATAATGATAATGATAATGATAATGATAATGATAATGATAATGATAATGATAATGATAATGATAATGATAATGATAATGATAATGATAATGATAATGATAATGATAATGATAATGATAATGATAATGATAATGATAATGATAATGATAATGATAATGATAATGATAATGATAATGATAATGATAATGATAATGATAATGATAATGATAATGATAATGATAATGATAATGATAATGATAATGATAATGATAATGATAATGATAATGATAATGATAATGATAATGATAATGATAATGATAATGATAATGATAATGATAATGATAATGATAATGATAATGATAATGATAATGATAATGATAATGATAATGATAATGATAATGATAATGATAATGATAATGATAATGATAATGATAATGATAATGATAATGATAATGATAATGATAATGATAATGATAATGATAATGATAATGATAATGATAATGATAATGATAAGCAAAGTAAGTTTCATATAATATAAGTTCAAGGTTATAAAGTGAATTAAATAAAATGCATGTGCGCGTGCGACTAATGTCGTATGGAATATAAGCGAGTCGTTCCACGCATACAAAATGCAACGGATGAAACAATCCAAATAATATTCAAAAAGCCTATTAACTATTTAAAGCTGATGTAATAATTTATTCTTAAATTGCTCGACAGCGAATTGAAAAAGGTAATTTTGCATGTTTACCACGTCACTGCCAACTGTTGAATCTCACGTAAGCAGTGCAGCCAAAGTGCCAACATGACAATTCGGCCACGTTGTTGTTGTTATGTGGTTCGATGAAAGGTTGCAAGCAAATTGTCAAAAAGAAGAAGCAAAGTGTATTGCTGAGCAACATGGCTGAATACAGCCTCTCATGGATTTGGTAAGTGAAGAGAAAGCCTTACCCATGGGCCTCGTTTAACCTACCTGACATGCCATTGTAATCGAATGTAGTTTTGCGAATTTATTAACTTTTATTGAATTAACATTATCTCTTTTTTGTAGGTTATGATTGACTTTGTGTGCCAACGGCAAATCAGTATTTTCAAGTAATTTAAGCACAATGTTTCGCTTACCTATAAATTGGTTAAATACGTAAATAGCTAATAAGCGAGTGTGATATATTTTTGATATACATATATATTATATTTTTGTCGATGTGATTGTGATTCTGATGTAACAAAGTTCACTTTAGAATTTTGTTTGTCAGTTTGTTTACATTTCAAATTTAATAGCATTAACTCTTGAAATAGCAGAGTCAGCCTATGAGATAAATATACATATAGTTTATGAGCATGAAAACGTAATTGCACACTTGAATAAATATTAGATCATTTTGTAAATAAACGTTGTTATCAGTTGTGCTGTAAGCAGAAAATCTTAAGATTGAGTTAAAACACGCTTCATTTTGTAAATGTACTTATGAATTAAAGTTTTTATTGTGGATAGAGTAAAAGGAACGGATTATTATTTTTGCCCATACTATAGTTATTGGATTTGATGAATAGAATTATCTCGATAAATATTTTATCAGTATAAGATTATGTAAGATATGAAAACTTGTAATATTAGGAAGAAGAAAAAAGAATCTGATAAGCTTGTAAAAGTGTGTAAGAAATGACTAATTTATTGAAAGATGTTCCATTAGGTATAAGATTCATTGAGTGGATTTCTGGAAAATGTCAGTACAGGAGATTAGATCGGATGACATGGCATCGTGCCGGCGTATTAGGTCTCACTTATTTAGCATATACTTGTTATCATATGTCTCGAAAGCCAATCTCAGTGGTAAAAAACGTTCTTAGCTTTAATTGTAGTGGCATATCACCACCACCGGATTTGTTCATAAATGATAGTAATCGAGACACTTGGTGCGATTGGGCTCCTTTTGGTAAGTAATTTATTTATAATAATTGTAGTCGATGCAATGTAAATAATACGCGATATTTTTAGAGAAAACTTGCGTAAGAATATTTTCAATGAATTTTTAATTTGTTTTAATTGTTTCTGCTCGTTTAGATTATTGACATATTTTTTAGATTTATATTATTAATATTTTATATTATGACGATATTTGAAAAATACAGCGGTGAGAATTAAATGCCATATTTTATTATCGCAGATAAACCAAATGCTTCTGCCTTATTGGGAACATTGGACTCTGCATTCTTATTCAGTTATGCAGCTGCTATGTTTCTCAGGTACTTAAGCATCTCTACAATTCTATAATATTAAACGGACGTATTGAATTATGTTGCTTATTCAATGTTTTTCCCCAGTGGTTTTCTTGCCGAAAGATTTAATCTTCGCTATTTCTTAGCCCTCGGTATGCTTGGAACAGGCATATTTACTTACCTTTTTGGCATCGCCAGATCTTATAATATCCATAACTTATGGTATTTTATATTTATTCAGGTAAATAATTTTTTATTTATTTAAAAGTATGGTTTAATATCACATGCAATGTAAATTATTTTAGACATTCATCGATCAATTTGGATCGCAATCATTTGACATTAATTTTTTAATAATTCAGGGAATAAATGGAATTCTTCAAACGTCTGGCTGGCCAGGCGTGGTTACCGTTGTCGGTAATTGGTTTGGCAAAGGTAAAAGAGGTCTGATCTTTGGTATCTGGAATTCGCATACTTCATTAGGCAATATTTTGGGTAGTTTAATCGCTGCTGAGTTTGTTGAAAAGGATTGGGGCCTGAGTTTCATGGTACCCGGTGTCATAATGGGAATATCTGGTTTTATTATATTTCTATTTTTGGTACCGAATCCATCTGATATTGGATATATACCACCTGGACCATATGGTTATAGAAAATTAGACGTGGCTCATAGCTCTGACGAAGGGAGCGGTATCGAGGATGCAGAATCTATTCATAATGATGATCGCGTGAGTTTATAAATAATGTGTTAAATGAAGGTACAACGTATTTCTAGTTGAATTAACAGAATATTTTATGTTTGTAGATTTAATTCTTATGTGAATTAAATCTAAAACAATGTCTATTTAAATCAACTTTAAAAGTCATAAATAATTCTTGTTTGAAATGATCTTGTAAATTATTAATTACTAATGCATGTAATTGTAAACAATCATTATTATCAACAGAATGTAAATTGCCAAGGTCGATTTATATATAATAAATATTCTTAATGACTTGTAAAACTTTTTGTAAAAATTAACTTAGCTAGCGTGTAGAATAATATTTAGTCACAGTCTCTGGTAGATTAATTATGATTGAATCTTTAAAATAATCTTTAACAACTACAGCAAGTCAATAGAATGCAAGAATTCGTTTGCACAGTTTATTGCATGCTTAGTAAACTATGTAACCACATCCTTTGTTTAACCTTCCATCTTAGCGAATCATCTATCGCAACACAGGCCGTCACCAGGACGCTGTTGTAAGTGCATGACTACTTAATTTCTTGTATTACTTTTCCTCGTGCAAATTATAAAAAAAAAATTAAAATATCTTTTAAAATTGTACTCTGAAATTAAAAATATATAGTGTTATATAGTGTCAAGACTGACCTTCAGAATTGGCTTTTAAATTAATAATGAACGAGTGAAATTGACTTTTATCGTTTAATTTAATTACACTTTAGCATGTGCTGTAAAATTTTAGAAATATTGTTACATCTATCGAGTACTCGAATCTCTTTACCATTGCTTTTGTATGAACGTACGCTTAAAAGTACAATCACTAAAGCATGCCTGTGCATGTCATCGTTAAATGTAGAGTAAACAAAGCAATTATTCTTCATCTACCATTACATACTTCTCTTAATCTTGTTATATTTTACATTTAAAGGACTTAATATATCAACGATCTGAAACAAGCCCTATGCTATCTACAAATCGCAATACCGAAAATTCTAGTGAGAAAGCTATTGGATTTCTCGGTGCAATCAGTATACCTGGCGTTATCGAATACTCTCTATCCTTATTTTTTGCCAAACTCGTGAGTTATACATTCCTGTTCTGGCTGCCGCAATACATCTCCAGTTCAAGTTAGTAATATCCACTTTTTTCTTCCACAAAGTTTATAATGTCGTGCTTATTCCCTCCAAGGCCCACCCCTCCCTTAACAACCAGCTTTAATAATTGAAAATTACATAATAATAATCGTTAAAAGAGTTCGTTTAAATTGTTTTAAGGCAATTTTATCGTTTGAAAATACAATATTCACATTTATAAAAATTGAAGTACATACGTGATTATGTTCATAAGGACATCATGCGGATGCACTATTACTTCACGATATATTATAGCAACGATTTAAAATTTTTAATCTTAGAATCATAAAAATATTCTAATACATGTACATTTAATTAATAATTTTTGTAGACATTATTAATAAGCCGTGGGCTTTTATCAATTACATTATTATCGAAAAGAATGTGGAAGCATTGGATTTATAATGCAGTTAATCTGTAATTTCTAAATAAAATTTGAAATAACTGTTGTAAGTTTATATATACTTTGTGGAATGCACAAATGACATTGTGCGATGTATTATGACATGTAGCCAAACATGTACATAAATTCTCTCATGGTGGAACATTTTTTTTTGTTTTTTTTTTGTTGTTGTCATACATTTATTTCATCATTCCGCAATTACAACGGTAAAAATTAAATAGTTAAATTGCATGACTCAATTCTTGATCTGATCGTGTGTTCTTGTTAAAATTTCATTTAATGACATGGAAAAAAAAAATTCAAAGATGCATTAGCATTAATATTAACATTAACATTAGCTGGACATGCATCGATAAGACAGAAAGCCCTATACTTCATATCACCAATCTAATCAATAAGATCTCCATAATTTTTTTAAGCACGTTATCGCTATGCCCATCTACATTTTCTATTCTCTCTTTCGAACAGCAACATACAGTGCAACACTGAGCGCAGATTTGTCAACGCTCTTTGATGTAGGTGGGATCATTGGTGCAATAATTGCAGGAGTTTTGTCGGATTATTCAGGCATGAGTGCGTTAACTTGTGCTGTAATGTTGGCCCTCGCTTGTCCCACTGTAAGTACGCCAAATACGTACTAAACAAAAATATCCAACCGATTAACTACGCGTTCATTGCGATCGGCTACCGACAGGATATGCCGAACTATATTTCCAAGCATAAACTGCAATCTTATATAAGTGTAATGCAAAATTAATCGAGATGTTTATGATAAATTATGAGAGGAGAGGATGATTCGTTAAATTGCCGAGCTTCACAATGTCTGTTTAGTGCAATGCATAAACTAATTTGCGATCAAAGTACCCAAAAAATTATTGAAAATTTATAAAATTTAACATTTTTTTCTCATATATTTCTAAAAATATCGTTAATGTTAACCAATCGCGGTATTTCTTAATATTCGATAGGTTTTTCATTACCATAGTAATATAAAGTAAAAAATAAATATAAATTTCAATTACACGACATTATATTTTTGATTAAAATAAATTTATAACTTATAGAAGTTAAAACATAATTATTTATTTATTTATTATAAAAGCAAAAACATAGCCTTAAATAATAATATAACAAAAATTAAATGCTATTTATTATAGATCATTGAGAATTATAATCCAAAGACAAAAAGTTTTGTTAAAAGTGTAATGTTTAGAAAAATAGTTTTTTTTTTTTTTTTTTTTTTTTTTAAACCTTAAGTAGAATTTTTTTTTAATTAGTACCCGATTACATAAAATATATTATAATACTTTAAAAATACGTTTTATTATGAAAAACATAATAAAACTAGTGGAAAGGAGATTTGTTTATTTGAATCAACTAAAGATATTAAGGTCTTATTAGTAATGAAATATCATCAGTTTTTTTTTTTTTTTTTATTTTTTTAATTGATAACTAAGTTAATAATTTTATAAATCATGTTGCATTAAACTGCTAAAGATCTCAGTCTTTGACAACATCGTCTTTATTTACCTCTTGTTTATCCCATTTATTAATTGAAATATTTTTCAACACTTTTATCATTTTAATAATTTACCAGATATACAAGTAATCTATCTTTACTATATATATATAGTTTAATTCTTAAAATATCTACAAATTTCTATAAATATTAACAAATTTAAAAGTATATTAAACGATTTTCAATTAAATTAGACGATTTGAAAATTTCTTTCTTTTATTATTTAACTTAAATAGGACGTTGAAATTAAAAAATTTTTTGAGCATTCTTGAAATTGTAAATTCCTATAATTAATAAACATACATAATGTATCGTTTATATTTACTTTGATATTTCTTGTTTAGCAAGCAACTCATTTTTGCCAATTTTCGAAATCACTTACGGGAAAGCAATTTACTGTTTATCCTAAAATTATGTCGGAATAATAATAGTAAAAATAACTCAAACATGAATTGCAGTTGTTCATATATGACTACATCGGAAGTATGAACCTAGTGGTGAACGTATTGCTGTTGATGCTGGCGGGACTCCTGGTAAACGGTCCGTATGCTCTGATAACGACGGCCGTCTCCGCGGAACTTGGGACGCATCCAAGTCTCGGCGTTGACTCGAAAGCGCTCGCGACTGTCGCGGCAATCATCGACGGGACGGGCAGCATCGGGGCAGCCGTTGGTCCCCTCCTCGCGGGTTTTGTCTCCAGTCAAGGCAACCTCAAAAATGGTTGGCACAATGTCTACTACGTACTCGTTGCATCAGAGATTTTGGCCTTAGTGGTAAGAGACAGTTTTTTTTTTTGTTTTTTGCCCTCCCTTTCTCCTTCCCTCCCCAAAAATTCCTAGTGGTGCAGTTAGTAAGATTTCCATCGAGTACATTCTGTTGGATAAATTGCATGCCACACACTTTACTTTGATTAAGTTTGATTATTCCTAACTATATGGATTTCTAGCATTGAGCTTTTTATGGTGAAAATTAAAAAAGATATTTTATATATTATTTAAATAGGTGAAATGAGATCATTAAAATCACATGACTACGATATTGCATCGAAAGTTTAAAAATAATAATGTTCATTCGTGTTATTTACGTCAAAATTGACAATTTGACTGAAAATGAATATATCTTTACCTTTTTTAAAATGAATATACCCTATCATTTGCCATAACTAAAGTTTTTATTTATCATTATTTTTTAATAAATACATATTCTTAGCATAATGAGTTACATAATATAAATACGTAATACAAGAACAATTCTTTTTTAATGTCTATCCATAAAAATCTTTACCCATAAAATGTCATTTTTAATTCAAATATTTCTGCTTTATAAAATAGTACGTTAAAATTTTTTTCCATTTATGATTAATATCGGATATTCAATAGACTGATTCTTAAAACTAACAGTGCATGAAAATAGAGCCAGATACATTTGAAAGATTGTCATTAATAATAATAATGTTTACAGCTACTATCGAAATTGGTGTACAAAGATTTGAAACTTTATGCACAAAGGTGGCGAGCTGTCTAATCATTCACATGTAAAGAAGAAGCGAGAACGTGTGAAAAAGTTAATTTTAATTTGAGAGCTGAGATAAATAGATTTTAATGTATTTTTATATTACATTATTTACAGACTGCTTGAAATAAAAAAAAAAAACAAACAAACAAAGAAAAATGAAAATAAATGAATAAATTATTTTTACTAGATAAAATTGTAACATAAATATCACAATACTAACGCTTCAAAAGTGAAAATCGATAGACAACTGACTATAAAAATAAATGGTTTTTTTTTTTTTTTTTTATAAAACATTTTCATCTCTCATAACGTATCTTAATACGATCCAACTTATTCGATTAATTTAATTGACATGTATAATAGAATTATGGAATGCCAAAAGGATAAATATAACTAATAGAGTCTGCAAATTCGCCCCAAGCTGCTCTCTGTGTTTGAAACAGTATAATCCATGTGATGTATATAGAAAATGATAGTAATGCTCCTATTCCAGACAATATAACATCTGAAAGATATCACAATTATAAAAAAAAACTTTGAAATGTTTTGTAAAAAAAATAGAGAGAATAAAACAAGGTACCTAATTATTTAAAATATTATTGTATTAACAGAAGAGAATGTACAATGATTATAAATTATAAGTTTACCTTTTTGTATTCAAAAAAGTAAATTTGTTCATTTTAACATAAATACAAGTTGTAATCTTTATTTTATTTTCCTAAAATTTAATATCTATTTATAATAAACAATATAAGACTATTATTAGTGCATTATTCGATATAAAAACATTTTTCATTCGTCATTCAAAACTCAATTAATTTCACATAATGTATGACACTTATATATCATTATTTTTATAATTTTTATTTTGTCGTTAGTAATAGTATAATTAAAATGTAAATATTATCTCATTCCTAATGAAGCGTTTAATAAAATTGATGTATGTTGATGCATTGTGTAATATTAGTTTTTATATTGAAAAATCTATGGTAGATCACAGATAAACACTTTTTACAATTAGTAAAATAAGCATATTTAAAATTCTTATTATTAAGTAACAAATCAATATGGACATTAATATCTATTATTCCTTACTACTGCAAAATATAAATAATTATTGATATTATTATTATTTGAATAATTGTAATATATTAATATGAGATGCGATAATGACTTTATTGAGATAAGAAATAAAGATTTATTTGAAAATTGCATAAGGAAAATAAAGAAATTTAAGGTAAATTACAAATTTACTTACACTTCTTAATTTGTTTTTGTTCCTCGAAGTGTGGAGCAAGAAAGGCTTGTTTAGCAAACCAAATAGAATTGACGGCCCAAAGAAAGGGAAGCATTGCAAATCCGGCTGTGGATAAATAAAATGTTTAAATGCCAATTTAAAGAGAAACCTTTCTCCACAAAAGTTGCCATTCTAATTTTTCAGTTAAATTTTAGGTTAATAAACACGTAATATATAATATTTTGAACTTACCGAAGAAATAGCATTTACAAAGGAACAGCTTCCTTTGGTTAGGCATCTTTGAGAGATCCATTGTTTATATAAACTTTTGTGCAATTTCAACGGTAAATTAATGTTTATTGAGAAATCAGTTATCACGGACGCCAGTTAAATTCGCAAAATAAACGTCATTCGTAAATAACGTCAGGCCAATGTCAAAATGTACATCTCAAGTAATAACTGGTTTAAAGACTTTATTAAACGACATCTAGCGTGAAGTATCTAAATTAGCTCCTCTGACAGCTTTTGACATTTTTCAATTTGGCTGGCTGATAAAAACTAAGCCATCCTCAGCTTCGATTCACGCCACAAAGTTATGAAAAGAAAAGCCTACGGAAACTTATTAATTTATTGGTACTTGCAAGTGCACTCAATTCCAACAGAGAGAGAGAGAGAGAGAGAGAGAGAGAGAGAAATTAGCCGTGATGTTGTAGCAAATGCCGGCAACAATATTTCTTTGTATATTGTTCATTTTGCGTTAAGCATTTGATGCAAAAGATTATTTCAAATTAAGCAAAAGCCAATTAATTTTAAGAACGTGAGATGAAGAGAACAAGCGATAGACTTTTCAGATTCGCTCTCGCAGTCTCGCGCATAAAAAGATAATACCTTCTAATATAATATGCATTTATAAATAAATGTATATATTGTTTACGCTTTATATTGATATATTGTTTATTGATAAATACCAATAGAGAATAAACTTAAAATAATTTATTTATTATTTATGCTTTATACTTTATGGATTTGTGTCTATATATCTGTATATCTTCTATCTATGAATCTATATATCTTCACTAAAGTTTCATTATCATTGTATTATTCGAATATATTTATTCGTTTGGTTTTATTCATTTGAATGTTTTTCATTTAAATGCTACGGTAATCAACAATGCAAATAATGAAAATACGATCGTGTTTGGCCGACTTCGCGCGACTTTAAATGTACACAGTGTTTCCTTAACAAAATTGAATCAAGATGGCCGCACAGTTTTTTACGAATGGCTATTATAATTAGGTATTGTTAATCTATGACGGTATTTGTGTAAGGAGCTGATATTTGTTTGGTCGATATAATTATTTTTAACAAAATTTAAGATAATATGTTTCCGATTTTAAAAAGTGGTTTAACCAATGCATTATCTAGTGTTGGAATTAGCTCGAAATTACATAAGGTTAGATATTTTTATTTTTCTAACTTTGCACGAGATATTTCTAAGGAATTATTGACTAAATAACATGTTATAAAATAATTCTCATTTTACTGTCATTGTTGATACTTATTTCATAAAAGGAACCGGGCCTACATTTATTAAATTAACAACTTTCTAAATTCTTAATGTTTAATAAAATTAGTAATTTATTTGAGTTTAGTTTAAATTTAAACCAATAAAATATTATTTAAAGACTTTGTCAACTATTTATTTTCAAAAAATCATATGCTATAATATTTATTATCATTATATTTATTTCATTAAATTCTATCTATTTATTTGGGTTAGCAGTCATGTTTTATACTTTTTAAACTATTGTATTACCTTTATAAGATATCTGTTGATCATGATATAATGTAGAAAATAGAAGATATGATAATATATAATCAATTATCTAATATAAGATTTGAATAACAAAAAAGAAAAACAATTATAATGAAGCTTCGATCATTAATTAATATAGTATCCGAACATATAAAATTTAATTCTTATTGCTATTTATTATATAAAAATTAATCGAATAATGTAATACAATATTTTGATTATTATCTATAAATTATTTTATTTTACTAACATATTTTAATAAATGTATTTTATTAGGTAGTTTCAAAAACTAATGTCAACAAATCCCAAGTAGCTACTCTTGTAAGACTTTCTTATCGAAATGAAGATGAGGAGCCATTGATCAAACCCTTTCCTTATCATGAAAAGATATATTCCAGCCTAGAAGGCCGGAAGTCTTTTGCCTGGAAACCATGGCATCCTAACTGTAAACTAATTGTGGTAGATGGTCCGGTTGCTTGTGGGAAAAAGAAGTTTGCTCAAGAGCTGGCAAAAGAATTGGATTTCTTCTACATACCAGAGCCAACTTTTGATGATCTGTATATAACTCATTGGGGATTTGATGTTAGAACGTTAGATTCCCAGCTACCGAAGGATGCACAAACATGGGATATCGATAGATTTTTGCAGGATCCGCATGACATAAATACAGCGGCCATGCAATTATATATGTATCATTTGAGACTAAAATCTTATATACATGCATATCTTCATCTTTGTCATACTGGACAGGGTGTGATTACTGTGAGAGGTCCTTGGTCAGATAGATGTTTTACCACGGCTATGCATGATAGCAAATATATTTCTGATGGAGCATATGAAACAATTATGAATACTTATAAAAATACATGGCATTTGATGTTTAGACCTCATTTAACGATTTACATGGATGTACCAGTTGATGTTACGCTAGTAAGTTTTTAAATTATATAATTATTAAAAAATAATCCTATAATTAATTTTTATTAATTAAAAAATATACTTTGGTAAAAAAAATTCTACTATAAGTTTATCCATTCAATATTTTAAATTGTTTATTTTGAAGACTTCGTTTTATTTATATAGAATATATCGATTTATTCAATTAAACTCTTTAAAAAAACCTCTTTAAAAATAAAGAGGAATATAATGAAAACATATTAGGGCCATTATATGTAAATGAAACTGAATTAAATTTAATTTATTTTTTAATGTGTACAAAATTTTGAATGAAAAATTTATTTATAATTTCAACTAAAATTTAATATTACTAACACTCATTGTATTTCATTAATAGGAAAATATTCAAAAATATGGCGAACCATTAGAGAAAACTTCAAAAGTTTTCACAAAAGAGTACCTCACTTCTTTTGAAACAGATATAAAATGCTCGGTGTTAGATTATTTGGAACCTCATGGTTTGATATACTATCATAAAAATATTGATGAACCAATCAGCGATACATTGGATGAGATTGAAAAATTAAATTTCGATAACTATTTAACGAGAGATTTTATATTATCTTTCTGGAGAATGAGCAGAGATGATCAAATTGGGAGTGTGCATATGTATTCTAACGAACTGGATGCTATATTATCGTCCACAGATATATATTCAGATGTGCCAGAGTTACATATGTCAGCTGAATCTTCAAAAATTTGGGAGAAAGTATGGGGGGAAGTAAGTTAACTAACTTGGTGTAACATTAAAATATAAAAAAATCATTGAAATAAAACTATTTAAAATTAAATATGGAAATTTAAATATAACTTAAAGGAATAACCAATAGTTTATAAAGAATATGATTTCCATTAAAAAATAAAAAACAAAAAAAAATGGTTTTGAATTAGTTATCATTAAAATTAGATCATTCGATTAATTCTTAGATTAACACAACTTTTATATTAATTAAAATGAAATCAATTATTAGAAAAAATTACTATATTTTACAACAATCAGTACATTTTTATCACATAAATTACAACATTTGCTTTAATTACAAAATTTGAAAAATCAGAGTATCTTTTCAAACAATAATAATAGTTTGTATACAAAAACAAATAACAAAATACACAGATAATAATGCTTTGTAAGTTAAAACTTTTTTCTTTCTTTTTAATAGGTTAATGATGGAAAATATTGTCCAGGATATAATCATTTGAAGGGTGACACTGGTTTGTTATTTAAGACAAAACAAACTTTTTATCGAGATTGTATAACCCCTTTAATGGAGAAATATAAGGAAAGATTCGCAAAGAGAAAGCAAAAGGAAAAAGAAAGTTATAACAAATAGTTAATAATATTAATTTTTATTTAATTTAAAGATATATCATTTCAGATACTTAATCATTTAGAACTAAACTGTAAAATAAAAAGATCATCAAACGTAGACTTATACAAGTATTTATAGAAATAAATAAAGATATACGAAATTATATATTTTTAAAATAATTTTCTTTTTATCACATAACTTTATATGACATTTAAAGAAATATAAAAGTACAAAAATAATTGGGAATTGAATAAAAACTACGTGGCTTTAAATAATTTTTTTAACATTTCAAAATATATTTATGTATATTAAATCATGTTTCTTTCCATATTGTACGCACATTGATATAGTATATAATTAATATTTAATAATATATTTTCATTATTTTCCATAAAATTTGACATTCATGTAAAGTACATACATGGAGAAATGGGGATAAATACATTGAAATAAAAATATTCTCTATTATATGTGTAGTTAGTATAATAATTCGTCACATACGATCAGTTTGCAGAAATCAAATAAATTTTTAAATTTTACTTTTTAAATTTTGAGTACGTCTTTTACATGTGCATATTTTTAAAAATCACATTAACTTGTTTAAATAATTATATATATATATATATATATATATATATATATATATATATATATATATAAGTATATATTTTAATAAATCAAATTAAAAAATTAAGTCTTATTTAACAATGTTATCAGCTTCATGGTTTAATATAAACAAGGAATAATTCAAACACCTTACACCACAAGACTTTTTACATGTGTCTTTGATTTAAGAGAATGTGATAATTTGATAAACCGTTTCAATTACAATTTGATTTTATCATAAAAAATATATTCAAATCTAACGTTTAAAATACAAATAATAATAATGATAATATTACTATTTTGTTTTTTTTAATTAATTTTTTAAATATCTAAGTATTCATAGAATATAGAACTATAAATTATACATAGATTCGAATAGATTAAGTAGAATATTTTCACATTCCCTTGGCGAATATCAAGTTCATTTTTACACAATTATTTGCACTTTTTAATAACGTATTAAATATTTCACGTATTAAAAATAATTATTAACTATATGAAAATGAAATCATTATCACTGCTTTTGATAAACGATACTTATATAATATAAAAGTTTCATTCCATCTAATTACGCAAAACTAGTAAGTTCATTTATCGAAGGTAATTTTAAATATTCGAAAATTTTAGTGCATTTACAAAATTTGTTGCAAAAATATTACTATTTAAAACAAACATATATATTAATAAGACAACAAAAACTAGATAATATCTTATAATTGCATTTTATCATAAAAATTTATGTCTTTGTAATACAAATTTTCGTTTTAATGGATGCCCTATCTTCGAATCTTCTAATTTTTTACTATGTTATCCACTCTTACTTTTACTATTAGTTTTTTTTGAGTAATTTCACCTCTCGTTGCCATCCATTCGTTCTAACTATCAAAATCAACTGGCAGTGAATCGTTCATTTATTCTGCCAGATTTATACTGGAACAGCAGCATTTTAAATGAATGCATAAAACCATTATGCATTAAAATATATACAAATGTAACAATTAAGTTTTAATGAATATTCTCTCGAATTCAGCTCATTCTTTTGCAATTATGCAAGAATTTGGAATCCACAGAATAATGCGTATAAAAATCAACCAACATAGCTAACAATGTACAATTCATTTTAAGCGGTAAGACTGCAACAAGAATTAGTCTTGCGGGCTGTTTTATAAAAGGCTTTCGACTGAATACTGAGCCCTTCTGATTTCTGTACAAGATCGTCTAATTTTTCTCCTCTTTGCAGAACCGCTTCTAAAGTACTATGCTAAAATAACAATTTCAATATTCTATTAGCTTTATTACATAGTTGTTTAATAATTTGAAAATTGTAATTTTGAAAAATATTTATAAAATATTGAGCTATTTCATATTAATTTTTTCTATTTAAAATAAGTTTGTGAAAAATGTTTTTTTGAACTTACTAGAATAATTTTAGTCTCGTCCAAGTCTTCTTGTATTTTTGTTAAAGCGTCGGCCTCGCTTGGATTTTGGTATTTAGCTAAATATAAATTTACTTGCTGAAAATCAGTGGTTCCTTCTTTTAATGTAGGCCACATATGTACTGTATATTTTGCAGAAAATTCATCAAGAACCTTTGTAATTAACGTATGTGATACCCTATTTGGATATTCATGATCCGAAATAAGAACACCAGCTAAACTGTCACCTCTAACATAAACATGACACATATATTCTGAAATATAAATAAAAAATATAACCCCATTGAATCTGTATTATATTAGATGTACTAAAAATTCATTTGCTAAGAAGAAATTTAGATTTAAAAATAAGGTAATCCTAGGAGAAAATATACAATTAAATCTAGTAAAGGAAATTCATAATTGTTCTCAATATTTTTTGCTTCTGATTAATTAATATATTAATTTTACATTGCATAAATTAAAATTAGGTTAAAAGTCTTTTGTCATTTGTGTCTCTTTAGGTAAATTTGAATTCAATTTTTTTAAGTTAAACAAATTTTATAGAAAATTTATTAAATTAATTATTAATGAAGCTTAAAATAATTATACCGCTAATACAAAAGCAAGCAATAAAATTGTAATATTTATATGACTTTATTACCTCCTTCTTTGACACTTTGTCTCGCTGCTATTTGTGTTCTTTCAGTTATTGTTTTACTAACAAATGCCATGAATTCTTTAACGCTATTCCTTTGAAAATAGGAAAAGGAATCAATATCGTATGCTGATTTTAAAGCTGTCGCGGATGTTGGACCTTTATACAGGATTGTCAAGGCGTATAATTTAACCATTTTGATATCGAGTGTAATCTGTAAATTTGCACAATTGATATAAATTTTGATTTCGTTAAAAGCAGTAAAAACGCTAGGCTTGTTAAATTCTACTTTGAATTTAATTATATTCCATAATTTAATAATTAAATTTCACATTCTATATACAAATATAGAATAATATGAGATCATGATAAAAACCGAGTACTAAAATAATTTAATGGAACAAATAAAAAATGTAGAATACATTGGGAAATAAAAATTGACAATCGCAATGACATATTAATATGACTTTATGAGAATTGATTTTCATAAATATTGCATTACGTGCTGCTAATTCTACGGATAAAAGGTCGGTTTTAAAAATCACAAATCCAACGATATTTGCGATAGTTGATAAGCAGACACCAAAATTTGGAAAAGATCGAATGCACAAAGCATTAAGGACATATAATAATCAGAGCTAAAAGTGCTGACGTCTTTTATTCGCGTTTCTTCGTTCAACACTTTGCTTTTAAAAATAATCGTCTCGCATCAGAAGCTTAAATCATCACCTGCAAATACTGCACTTTCCAATATTCACAAAACTCAATGTAATTAAAAATGCCGTCCACGTCTTTAAGGAAGAGAACTCTTGTACCAGACAATGAATGAGCTGATAAATCTCTAATACTTTTTTTTCTCTTCTTTCTTTATCCTTATCCTTTATACATAATAAATTGCTTTACACTACCGGACGACAAGGCTCTGGTGGTAATTAATCGCGTCTCCCGCACTATAAACAATGTTGCAAGTTTACGTGGTTTGCACTAAACATTCGCTCTGCACGGCAAACCAGAATCGGATGAATAAACACGCATACAATCCTGACTGCATCCGTACTATCTGGTCGAAGACAAAATTTAAGATGTCGACACGGGAAGGAGCGGCTCGTACTAATCTCTACTGTTGTCACACGCGTATACATCGTCCGTGCCTTTGATCGTCGCCATATTGACTTCGTTCGGCTCTTGCCAGCAGCGAAGCAAGGCTTTTAGCGTTAAGGGCGCCCGTGTCGAACGACATGGTCGGGGACATTTTCGGCGTCGACATTCAATTCAATGACGTTTGCAGGGAATTCTGAGATTTGCGCTTGCGCACGTATGCCCATCTCTGTTTAATCCAATGACTGCCCATAAGAAATGACCCGCGAATGATTAAAATGTACGTGCCTTGTGTGTTTCTCGCTTGATGTTCTGACGAGTGGAAAAGTGACGGGAAGCGTGAGCGCACACGACGCATATTGTATACGCACGTGCGAATCGCACGCGATGCATAATTTAAAGAAGAATTTTTCCTTTTATTTAAAATGCCTGTAACGACTTGTATATTGAAATCTACGTAGATCAATTTCTGTTTATTCTAAATTCAATGCTTTAATACATAGAAGAAGTCGCATGATGTATCGCTGAATCGATAAAAAGTTTTCAAACTACTTTCAATACCATGCCCTACAATAATAATATAAATTTCCATGAGTGGAAAATTTATTAAAATCTTATTATTTACATTTTTATGTTTGGGAACCCCCATTGTGATATCGTCTGTTTAATTAATAATCCATATAAACTTATAGATTTATACTTGATAATCATTTAATACTTCAATTCTTAACTACAATGCTCTATGTATTACGGTGTCTTATTAGATTTTATAACTAAATGAAACTCGCATATTTATTAATGGATTAATTTATTATTCATAGCATCGACGTTTTCATAAAATTGACTAAACCGATGGCTCGCATCAATCGACCATGTAAATTATGAATTTATTCTTCTCAATACAACAGACATTTCTATTATAGAGAATATCTTAATAATTATTTGTTATAAAATTCTTAAATGCTTCACTTAAACATACGGAAAATTATAGTTAATATTGATATTATATTGATTTCAAATTAAAATTTACATTAATGTATATAACATAAGTATAAAGAAGATTATATATATATATATATTTACATAATAAAGAGTCGTAGAATATAATAAAAACAAAACATCATTTTCATATAAATGTATGATTGAAATGTAAATTAACGTTTTTTCCATTCAATTTTGTCATAAACAGGTTTTTAGAAATTAGAATATTGAATGTCCGATAAAATGAGCTCAACAAATAATGATATTTATATTGGAATGTAAAGTAATAATGCTTTTATTCCCTACATATGCTTTGGTTTATGAAAGCTTTTGAACTTGGTTTAACAAAAAATCGAAACAATTAACTCGACAGACGATCTCATTGCAAATGGTGTTTGAAATGTTGTTACTATATGAAGTAATTATTTTCTCTTAAATTAAATATTAAAAATAAAAGATCTTCAATTTTATTGTAATTGGAGAGATGAAGTTGGTAATGCTTAGAAGAATATACTTCAATTAAGTTTATTCGAAGTTTTTCTTTATTAGTTATAAAGATTATGCAAAGACATTCACAAACTTCCATACAATGCTTACATATATACGCTAATTCTAATTTCATTTATACCATAGCTAAATTAACTTTTTAATTTATACATTTTTTCAATTACGTGTAAAAATACATATTACATACGTATTACATTATATTTTATAGAACAAGAACAGTCAGAAAATTTTTAAGATGAAACATTCTAGTTTAATTAAAATATTACACTGTTTACATTTGTATTTGAGATAATTTTTTCAAAATTGAAAAACTATTTCTTTACTTAGCCAAATTTAAATGCATTGCTTTAAATTCCCGTCAATAAATACGTTTATTTATATCACACATTTTATAATAAAAATCTAAAAGTATGTTTTACAAAAGTTTTTCATAATGTTTTATATGTATTATTTATTTTTTGGTTCATTGGTTTAATTTAATTTTGTTTATATCGTTAAAATATGTTAAATTACATGTTTAATTATGTGGATGATAAATTCTCTGTGAATTGTGAGTTTATAAAATTCAATAGTACTTGGTTAATATTTTTATTTTGATATTTGTTTCTATTGTAAAAGTTAATATGAAGCAATCGATGTAAAAATAAATTGTAAATAATTGTTTTCATTATTATTAAAATACAACAATGTCAATTATTTAATTTTAATAATAAAATGCATGTAGTAATTTATGATTTATATATATATATATATATATATATATATATGTTTTATGGTAAGTTTATTTAAATAATTTCAATATAATTTTTCTCAAAACTTTAGAACATAATTGTACGTAAATTTTGTGGAAAAAAAAAATAACGCAGAGAAAACAACGCAAACAAATATTTAATTCGACAAACATATATATCATAAATGAATTAAAACACGAAGAAATAATAAATTTGAAACAAAAAGATGATCTAATGTAATACGTTCAGATTTTTTTTTTTTTGGTTTATTAATACATTAAAAGATAATGAATAAATATTATATCAAAGATCTTCTACAAATATGTACATATGTAGAGTACTTAGCAGTATTAGCGCAATAGGCCATACTTGACCAATTAAAAAAAAATTAAGATTTCTTAATATTTTGGAACATGTGGCTGCATCTTTGTCAATCAATTAATTTAATGATTCAATTTTTTTTTTTTTTTGGTTTTTTATTTTTATTATACCAATGAAAAGATTTCTATGCCTTTTGCCTACATAAAGTAACCTTTACTCGTTAGTTTAAATATTTTTCTTTTATTTTAAATACTTGCTAGGCTCCGAGTTAAAAAAATTCTATTTACAGAATGATATATAATAACTGCTAACAAGAGCAAGGCACGATCAATTTGAAGTGTCATTCATTCATAGCAAATAATCAATTATCGATAAATTAATTAACTGGTTAACACGTCAGTGAAAAAACGAGAAAACAATTCGTTACTTAATAGAATAGACTTAATAGTTTGCATCTTAACCATTGATCTATCGATAGGCACAAAAATTATGCACGAACGAATTAATTCGATTATTCGCATTTTTAATTTTATTAACAACTATGATAATTAATTTTCATCCGCACCAGATAAATACATACGTAATTTATTTCATAAGAAATATTTTTATTTAACAATATTGGTCATTAATCTACATATATCGTATGTTTTTCAATATTCTATCAATTTATCAATTTAATCCCTGATGTATGCATAATTATTCGTCCAAGTCATGTAATGGTAACGATAAAAGTCCTTACAAGTCAAGAAATGCTAGTTTGCAAACAGAATTGGATATTCTTTTTATTACGTGATATATATTCTTTTATATTTAGTTTATTAAAAAAAAAAAAAATCACTTTTATTTAAAAATTGAATGTTCTGACAATTTTCTAATCATAAATTTGTTTTTTTATATTATCATATATATAAAAAAGCCTTGGTGTAAATTTTAGCAAGAATTACAATACAAAATCATTTAAAAAATTTTCTCTGGAACTTTCTCCCACAAACTATGGATGTTATTGACATTGCATTGCATTAAAATATTGTTCTTTGCAGTTATCATTATTATACTATATCAATACAATCCACACGTCTTCTGTTACATTAGTATTCAATATATTCTACTTTTTCTTATTCTTAAATTTAATATTGAATTTCATTGCGTTAAATATTTCTTATTTTCAGTAATGTGCTACAATACACTCACGCTGTTTTAAAAAGTGGTTACTGTTCCCCACAAAACTAGGAACTTAAATTTCACATATACAATGTCAAGTACAAATAGTTAGATCTCATTAAATATACAGTATTAATGGCTATAATTTCGTGAAAATCATAATCATTATTTTAGTGTGCGGTTATTGCAGTTTAAATCCTTTCGCGTATGTCATTTTTTTCTTCTTCTATCTTACGATAAAGAAAGCTAATTTTATAAATAATTTTAATTACTTATGTATAATAAAAGATTTCAAAATGTTACAAGAATATTTATAATTTGGATCCAATAACAAAAAATAATGGTTATTATTAACATATAAACAACAATTATCCAGTTATTATATTGAAATTTTATGAATAATGAAGTTAAAGTTAGAATTTGATTTTATTTCAATGACATACTAATTTTTAATACCTCACAGTGTTAGTGTAAAATCACTCAAAAGCCTTACTTCAATGATAAAACTGCTGTTGTCATCAAAGTTAGAGTGACAGCACACAGTTACATCAAATATAAAATCTTTAAAAGTCCATTTTTAAAGAATAAAAGAATTACCAAATACAAGATAGAGCGTAAGAGAACATATTGTAATGAATGTAACTAGATGTCATGAAGAATAAGTGGAGGACTAGGAAACGCAAGGGATCTTGTTGAATCTTGTAATCTTCTGAATTTAGTCGTTGCGTGCCAACAAAGGTACCATGTTTGTAAAAATTATCTAAGAGAGCTTCCTTTTCAGCCCATCTGTCATACAGCCATCTTGATAATTGTTTAGGTTCTTTAGGAACCTAAAAAAGGAATAAAAAATTCAATACAAAATATAATAATTCGTAATGTTATTAAAAATCTGCGATAATTAATTCATTTTTCTTATTCAATAAATTGATTGAGCAATATAAATTTAAATATTATTAATAATAGACGGTCCAATGAAAATAGTGATTAACTATATTTGCAACAATTTTCAGCTTCAAATCACTGTTCTCAATAATATAATACTTGTATTAATGTAAGTAACGAAGTTAAAAAACAAAAACTTAGAAAAGATATTGGTAAAGTGTTGAGAATGAATGAGACTTTAACTAACCACTGAAGTAGAATATATTCGGTAGAAAAGAACTGTATCACATGGTGGTCTTGAACCAGTTATAATAGTTGGTAAGTCTATTGGTTTTCCTTGTGGATAAGCAATCGTTATGTCGAGTATCCATCTGATCTCTGGTTTTGTCATAGCTGTAACTAACATTGTTTAAATTAACTTCTAATAAATTTATAAAACTTTTATTAGATTATCAATTGTTATACTTGATCTAGAATTCAATTGTTGGTCGTCAGAGTTATTATTCTGTATGGGACCAACAACATCAAATATAGTTTGCAGAGCTCCAACTCTTGGTAAAGTTACATTTTCTAAAATAGGTAGATTATTCTTCTTAGCATATTTTTGTGAAGTTTCGAGTCTTTTACAAAGAAATCCGCCCTCTGGAAACAGTACCATCCATTTTCTATCCAAAGGTACGTATGACTGTTTTAGGTGTTTTTCCAATTGTCGCAAGCTTTCTTCTCTTCTTTTACGACCCTTGAAAGTACAATAACTTTATTATCTTATGCATTAAAGACAGGAAAAAAAAAATGAATTTGCCTCGCAATGAAAATGTCTCGCAAGTTTACAAGGAATTGAATAATAATATTTATTTTCTAAATTATTAGTTTTAAGAGAATGATATGGTATTTCTCTCTCTCTCTCTCTCTCTCTCTCTCTTTATTTTGTAATCCTATTACAATCCTATTAGTATCCTATTACAGGGTATTATTTAACAATATAAAATTAAAAGAAATTGATAGTCATAGCTTACAATGCCTTTTCACAGTTAAATAAAAATCAATAAATTTATGCAATTATTAAGAAGAATGATATTGATTTGAATGACTTTGTATATATTCAATATTTTCTATGCTCAGTGTGTTCATTAATCGAATGTCTTTTCGCTAATGTATATATTATCTTTTTGTTATTGGCAGAATTTCAAGAACAATTTCAAATTGTAAATAATAAGTATTTTGCGTTATTAGTATTAAGAAATAAAGAATTTATCTAATAATACATTATTTGTAATGGCAAATTAATTAAATATAATTTATTATACACAAGGGCAACATTAATTTCAATAAACACAAATCTATAAATTATCCTATTATTTATTTATTGATTATTTTTCCTTTTCTTTTTAAATTATATAATATCAACAATATTATCGAAAAATAAATTATTAATGCTTACTGATACAATGAAAAAATCATGATGTAATATTGAAACCATTCCGAAATTCGTGAACTTGAATATCCTGTCCATAATCCACATGAGATTGGGCAACACATTAGGCTTAGTATTAAAAGTTGTCATCAAGATAGGAACATCACCAGTACTTTGATGATTTGCAATTACCAAAGTTCGATCACTTATGATTCTATTAATGTCATCACCTTGTTCGATCACTGCAATACGTTACAAAAATATTAATTGCATGTATGTATTTTTATAGAGAGAAATATTGATTTGTTCCAAAATTCAAACGTAAGAAGCGAATCAATGAAAAATATATTTTAATATAATATGCGAGCGCTGGGTTTGTATTTTATAAATCTAATTAATGCTTCACTCATGTAACATTATAAATTATAATAATTTAAAATGAATTATATCGTCTTATATTTATTTCACTTAAATATTTAATTTAATAGTTTTTCTTTTAATTTACATTGACGTATTAAATTAATTAATCACAACTTTTTTTTTCTTTATATTTTTTATTTTTTTATTTACATCAATCAAACGTAAGCTTGATAATATTTTCAATGATATAAAATTTAGAAGTGTGATAAAAACGAATGAAATGTAAAGAACTTATGTAAAGAATGTGAGCAACGTATCTTTTCTATATATCGAGGTATTAAAAATATTTATAGCTATTAAATAATACATACCATTTGGGTAATTATTTAGAATTAGTGTTGCTATAAAAATAAAATAATTTAATCGGTGTATATTATTGGACAGACATATAATATTTAAATAAATAAAAAATACTGACCGGTGATTCGAGTTTTGAAAAATTATATTTGCTAATCGTATATACTTTTAAGTGTAGCGTATCTTGTTAATAAATAAAATTATGGCTTGGATGATGTTAAGATTTTCAACAAAAAAAAAATTCATTTATTTGTACATGAAATACGCGATTGGGTACAAAAAAAAAAAAAAAAAAAATAAATAATTCTGGTGCAAATTATAATTTTTTTTGTTTTTCACATAGATGATAAAATTGCATTGGCAACTATTTACATTTATAACATACGACTAATTAAAAGCTTTAAGTCTAAAAAAAATTTAAGCTTTGAGGGTACCGTCGTTAAGGCTAAATTTCCCGTTACGAGTATTGATGAAACCTGATTCATTTGATATTAATTAGAATATTATTAATTTTTTTTTTCTATATTTGTAACGAAAAACTCTAATAGTTTTAATGTTAGATATGAAATTCATTTGAAATAAATAGAATAAAACGTGTGTTTAATTATTAACTATAATGACGAGCATTATATATATATATATATATATATTTTCTCTCTCCCCATATTTTAAGCTAAGACAAACAAAACCTAGTAATTTGATAAAAGGTTCATAGTTTTTCATGAAAAAATATTTTAATTGTTTGGAAAAAAAATTCGAAATTCTTATAATTTTTAAATTCATTGATATATATTTTAATATTTTTTTTATACAAAAATGTATTGGACATTTTGATTGTCGATTAGACTTAATAATCTCTTTTAATAGCAGATTTTAAGAAAAATAAACGAAACGTGCCTGTTATTCCGTTAAATATAGTATAGAACATTGGCATAAATATTCTTAAAAAGATCTTTGGTACGATAAATAAATAAATAAAACATACAATGTTAATGAAAATATATTTGAAAAATGTATGGTTTCTATATAATGCCAGGTTATAAGGACGATTGTTATAATTGTCAAAATAATAATCTTCCTGATAATGTTATAATGATGATAAACGTATGTAGCACTTGGAAAATGTAAAACATCGCATGTGATGTAGCAATATATAAATCATTCAACGTAGAAAGAGTGATTAAACCATATAGATTAGGGTACACGAGACGAGCAATTAAAATAATGAATAAGCGAACGGCAAATCGGGCTTTAGTTAGAAAATCAGATAGTAAAAAATCGTTTGATAGACCAGAACTAAAATGGATATAAAGCGCTAAATAATACTTAAAATAACTGCCACGATATTGCAGGATACTCAATAGTAATTTGGTACGTAATAAAGGAAAATGTAATTTTTTCATTTACAAGATCGGGCATTTTTTATTTAAAAGTTCAGCTATTAATAATGGCGAGATGCGATGATTCCGTATATTCGAATTTCATATTTTATTGCAAATCTATGAATTCCTAATACCAATTAAAATTTATATTTTTATTTATTATGCATTGTCATAAAGTAAGAATAGAGTAGTATTTGCGTATATTTACCGCTTAGCAAAATGAAGTAAATAATTATTTTAATAACATATTCACAATATTAAATTTTTTATAGTTCATTTATTAATTCGTATTTAAAAAAAAAAAAGAAAGAAAATAAATACTTTAAAGATTCAACGTCCTATGTACAATATTGGAACGTTTAACTAATTGCGAATAATAATTTCCTTAAGAAAGGCATAATAGTGAAGAAAAAAAAAAATGCAATAACATTAATGGATAATTTAAAAACTCAAGAAACAAATCAAATAAAACGTTGATTTAGCCGTAATCAACTGTATGCAAATAAGGGTAAATTTGCGCTTATTGCAATTTATCTTCGTTAGTTATAATAATAATAATAATAGAAGGACAATAGGTATCCAAATTACACAATGCGTACAGTAAGAATGCCGTCATCGTTCCATCATGAAATGCAGTGGTGTGTCACACATTCAACATGACAGCACCTTGGCGATGCACGTGGTGAGAAATTTGATACAGCGATAGCATTTTGCAATAAATATATAATTATGTGAAAATATTTTATTTGAATTCGAACTATTGCTTTTCGCGCATAAGCTGCTTCTTGCCGATTCAATTTTCCCTAATTTATTGACATTTTTATTTACTTATTTTTTTATTGATAAGTATATACACGAAATAAATAACTGCGATATTTAATATATAAAATTTATTTACTTATATATTAATAAGTATGGCGAATCGTACAGAAAAATGTTAATATGACTGAGCTTAAAGAGAATTTTGATGAATTATTACGAAACTTATTATCAATACGTATGATTATTTTATTTATTTAAATGTCGTTAAGTTTCATATATTTCATAAAGAAGCGTGCAAATTGCTCGATCTATTTAAGAAATTCGTTTTATGGCTCGTAAATATTATTGAATGATTCTGTTACGCAGAGCGTCGCGCTCGAGACGCGAATAATTTATTTCAGGCACGATTACCAAATTTCGTATGAAAGCACGAAATTATCATTAGAACCAATACGTCTGCAAGTGTATTTGCATATACACATACTTACAGATATTGTACTGTTGTCGTTTTGTTGTTAGCCATCGTTAAGAGAATAGATTGGTATAGTGTACTTAATAATAATGAAATCTTCTGATATCATTACACGCTGTACTGTATTATTTTTGAAAAATGGAACGAAGAAAATAAAAAATTCTTGAAGAAATGTGATAAATGCGTGAAATTAAAAGATGACGATTGGACAGAAATATGGAAATATTTTTGTAGTACGATTTTTTTATTATTTTATTTACGGTATAATTGCACATTTATCAAAAGAATTTTTAGATAGATGAAATATGCTGGCAAACAAGTACGAAGTCCACATACTTAATGTTATTCATCATTTTATTTGCCATTAGGAATTCAAATATAAAAATGATAGATTATTGTGATATTGGTATATTTGTTTAAGATTTTGAAAATGAGAAATAAGACCAGTACAAAAACCTTCTAAATTTCCTTACATTAAATTACATGTTTTTGTAAATATTTACATTAATATGTAGTAATTAATGACTATCATACCTAGTAATTACAATACATTATTATAATTTTTTCGCTCATAAATATACTATCTCAAAACCATCGATAAAATAATAAATATGTAAATAAAAACAAGTGTTTGTTTAAAGTGAACGAAATAATTCATTCGACATTAGAGTAATAAGTAAAATTATCAAAATTTCGACTTACGTTGACTATTCCACAAAATATTCAGCTAAATTTTTTTTTGTTTTTGTTTTAACGATCGGGAGGGGGGGAGGGGGGGGGTGCCGATTAAATATGCGATTGCATTATTAGTTTTTAATGAATAAATGTCTACGAATATTTTAATAAATCCTTAATAGGATAAATTGATAGTTGATAATTTTAGTGAAATAGAATAAAATTTAACATCGATGCATTAATTAAATGAATATCTATCGATATTGAAGAATCATAATCATTAATGTAAAAAACATTTATATTTGTGACATTTGCTAATGATTTCAGTCTAATATATTCAAAATCAATGTCGCAATTGTTTATGTAATATTTTATTTAAAGCATTAACAAATCATAGTAGAAAAAACAAACAACATATCCCATTGGATATCTTAAAATTTTATAAAGCTAACAGTTTATACATAACATAAATTGTTAGAAATCAAGATTTAATTAGCTTCAAAAGAAATTATTTAATTTGAATCTTGTAAAAAAAAAAAAAAAAAAAAAAATAAAAATTCATTCCGAATTAATAAGATTCATTTAATGATTTAATATTTAATTTGTATTTTATTCTTCAAAAATTCTTATTTTTTTGTATTAAAAATTTTCAATATAAATGAAATATTCTCAGCAGTCGGTTCAACTAAAAATTTTTATTTACTTACACATATTGTATCTCCAGCGAAAGGTACACGCCAATACTTATAATTATGCAAATAAAATAAAATTTACCATTATATCCAGCAGACCAAGTCCACATAGACACCATTGCTAAGAGCCAATGAAAGAAAAGGCCCTCGATGCGCCAATATACTTGTGGATCATAAATTTTTATGGGAAATAGCAGCAACATCCAAGTAATATATGTTGGTATACAGTACATATTGTTTACAATAACGAATCCAGTTCGTAATAGGCATTTCAAAAATGTTGTGAGCGCTATAATTAATCTGAAAAAAGTGTTTTCATTGGTATAAATTTTCAATCATAGAAAATTAAATTTTTTCTTATTTTTATCGTAGGAAAATGAGATATCGTATCAACTATCAATATAATCATTGATAAAAATAACATTCACAATAATATCAATTCTATATGCATGTACCAAATAATATATGAGACAATAGCTTATTAAGTTCCATTTTATTCACATTTATTACCTTACCTATGCTTGACTTTTTTTTTTCTCTATACAAAAAGATAGAAGAACTATGAGAAAAATTTAAATCAGTTTATTAATTTTACCATAAAAAAAAAAAAAAAAAAAAAAAAAAAAAAAAAAAAATTAGCTGTTTGAAAGCCTTTGCGTAGTCCATTTATGCAATTATATTGTTAAGAATCAAGGCAACTCTTACAAGGCGATTGATGTTAAATTTGACTTATATCTCCCACTTATCTTCAGTTTGTGCAAGACTGTTGAAGTAAATGACCCCGTTGTCAATATGAGACGTTAAAAACAACTTTGTATACTTAGTTTAATAAACTACATACACAATATTATAGTTTATTGTTATAAAAAAACAAGAAAAAAAAAACAAGAAAAAAAAAAGGCTTTTGTTATGACAAACAACTTATTATGCTTATATTATTATTTTTTTCAAACATAGACATTAAAAAGATTATTAATATTTATGCTTTATTGTAAAATATATTGAAATAATCTAACTAAAATGACATATATATATATATATATATATATATTTTGTACAATTTTGTACATTATCCATTGAAATGTATAATAATGAGTTCATTAGTAAAACTTGGATATACTTTCATGATTACAGTCATAATTACTAAGCACTCATTATTACATTGTGTTTGTTATTAACATTAATAAAAATAAATAACATTGCAATATATTTTTATTTAAAAATGAAAGTAAAATGTAATGTAAAATGGTAAATATTTATATGAAACAAAAAAAAAACTATAAAATATTTAATTATATATAAGGTTGAAACATAATGCCTATGGTGAAATACATATAGAATTTGTATTTTATAAATTGTAATTTTTGTTTATTATTATTTTGTTTATTTATATTTCAATTAATTTAAAAATATCAAATTGGTATTTGTTTTTAGATAATTAATTAATTTAATTTAATAAAATAATGGAAATTTTACTTTTTTTTACTTTATTTAAATTATAATTTTTTTTTTCTTTTTTTTTTTTCTTCTGTAAATTATCTATTATCCAATATAATTATAATTAACTTTACCTTTTCCTAAATCGTTTATTAATGGAAAATGTGAAAAATATTAATTGTATAAAAATAGGTTTGCTATTTTAGTTGAATAAAGTTTTTAGGATTATGTTTGTTCATGTTACTTATCATTTGAAAAGAAATATACAATGTGCAATTGGTGTTGCTTGTGACAATATAATTTCTACATTTGCAGCTTATAACATTCATACTAAATTAATATTCAATTATAAAAATATGCAGTTTTTTTTACTCTCGAGCATTGTATATTTAAATTTATTATCCTGAAATAGATATCATTTAGTTAAGGAAGATCAATGAAATAGAGATAAATTGAGATAGAGAGATAAGTTTATCGCTATTTTTAACTAAGACCCACATACATATAATACTTTTTGTACGTTACTTTTATTAAAATGGGATTATTATCATATCGAGCGGTGTAATTTGCATTAATTTAAATTCATATATTAATCTATGATTATATTTTATATGCAAGTTAACGTTTCTTTGATCATTTGCACTTAAAGATTCTCATGATTTGTAATGTACCAATTACATAGTGTTATATTAGTGTTCGGTTAAAAATCATTATTTGGCAAATAGTTTAGGAAAATTCTTTATGCCACATAACAGTTAAGAAAACGACATAATAAATTGATGAAAATATCAGCATTTACTTTTATTCTTCTATAAACACAATGTATGTCATAACAAACGTAGAAACTTTTAAACACACGATAACTCATTGTTAAGCCAGTAAATACATCTTAAATTTTAATGATCATTCGAGACATTTAATAACATAATGGAAGGGCCCTTTCTGTAATAACTAACTGTGCTCGATTAACGTTTAATTCATAATAATTTTACACCACTATTACTCTCGTTTCCTCCCCTGTTCCAAAACTTCCATATCGAGCCATTGAGTTTGCCCAGAAACAAACGAGAATAAAGTCCACCGGTCGCTTATTCGCTAAACTGCCCGAGGAGATGACCGAGACTCTCTATATTCTCACGGCGTGAGCAGGCGTTTATTTATCGAAGCTGAAAGGCGCCGATGGGAGGACGGCGAGATATTTGAAGCGGACGTCGCGGAAATCGATGAGGTGCGCGTAAACGCACAAGCCGCTCGCCCGCGAGCTTCGAGCATCGGGCATCTCACATCGATTGGCGAGCCGTCCACTCGTACCTGAACAAAATAAATCAGATCGCAACTCACCTGATGAGAGCGTTCGGGCGCTCGTTCATCGTGTCGCTCGGCGACGCGGCGACGCGGCCGTTCAGCCGAGGGTTAGCAGCACCGCCGCCACTAACCTCACTTTTGCTCATGTTTATCCTAGGGCTGTGGCGTTGCGCTGCCGCTGTCCACGGCCATGCTCGGGGCTCCCTGTCTTTCAATATTACATAATGAGCCGCTCTCGTTCTCCCGATCGCTCTACCCGTCTGTGTCCTTCACGAGTTCTCCCCACCGCGGCCCAACGTCACTGCTAAATCAACAAATTGATTTGCGTTAGTCCGTGCGAGCGCCCGCAACTATTCTCCGCTCTTCGGTCTGTGTTTGACGGAGGACTCGAGCGACTCTGCGACTCTCCTCCCCCCCCCCTTCATCCACCACGCAGATCAAATTCAGACACTCGCGCGCAAACGCATCGTCGTCCGCGCGACCACGACCACGACAACGACCACGGCCACTGGTATTGTTACTTATTCTTCTTCTCCTCGCCTCACTACACCTTTCCGCACCACGCCTCGCTTAACCTCACCGCGCCTCGCCTCGCCACGGTTTGCCTCGTCGCGCTTCACCACACCGCGCCTCACCACGCCACACCGCACTTCCCCTCACCACGTCCTACCCCAACACCGCTACTTACTATTATTATTATCATCAACAATAATAATAATTATTATTATTAATTATCGTTGTTAATATCGATGATTTATTTATTGTCTATTACCATAATTGTTTATCATCAATACCTATTGTTATTTACTACTACTATTTTTACTATCACTCTTGCTGTTGTTGTTGTTGTTGTTGTTGTTGTTGTTGTTATCGTTATGTATGGCGACGGATTATTATTCTTATTACTATGGTTATTATTGCGATAGTGGTAATCGTTTTCGTAGGCTTCGACGGCGAATTATCGATGACACCAACGAATTTTTATACTATTAACAATTTTCAACTAAACGACCGACAAAATAAAATGATAAATAGGAGGGAACTACCAAGGTTTCGCGAAAGAATCTTCAGGCGAAATCACGGCATCTCTTGCTTCTGAGCGATCAGCCCGGGCGCTGTTGCTCCGGTTCATGTCTACCCTCTTCAGCGCCCTTGATGCATCGTATGCACTTTTACACGATTTCTACGTCGCGATACGACACGACACGACACGAGTCGACCTTATCGCCTACCTCTTCCTCGCCACCACTGTCGACGTCGCCGAACATTAACTAAGTCAATTGCGCGCTCCTCGCTGCCGTCCGTCATACGAAAACACGCGCGCGCACTATTTACCACTGCGTCGTCTCCTCCTCCTCCTCCTCCTCCTCCTCCTCCTCCTCCTCATCGACCTCCTCCTTCGCCACCATATCCACCACCGCCCCTACTATTGCCGACGCTACCACCACTCCCACCATCCGCCGTCTGCCCGTCAATGAAGATTTTTCCAAAAGATCCTCAAGCGCCTCTCCTCGATCCGAATTCCACCCTTTCCGCGACCACGATGACGCTAATGCGCAGGCTAACCCGGACCCGATCGAAATTACACCCAACGTACCTCGGTGTCTTTGGCAATTAGCTGAATTGCGTGTAATCTAGGTTATGCCGCCGGAGATGCCCGTAAGTAACGCGGACCTTACTTGGGTTTGTACTCTAGGTAGCTGGGGAAGTTAGGGAACCTGGGAACCTGCGCGGATCGTTGTTTAGGGTAACGTTCGTTGTTTGGTAAACATAAGCATTAGTTTCGCGAAATGATGATAAAGCGAGCGTGTTACGCTACACAACTATTTATTAATAATCCACGTGCTGTCGTTTGTCACGTTTTTTCTTTTTTCCTTTTTCTTTTTAATTTCTGTCTTTTTTTCTTAAATTACGTACGACGATTAAATTTGCTAACCAAGTGGTATCGTCGCTGTTGGTGGCATATCCGTCTGGGGATTGAATACAAATGTCAGTGCTGAGTGCGCGCGTGGGCTACGCGGCTATAGATTATTAAACTAAAGGTTGAAAATACTTTTCCGTTTTGCAAAACTTTAAGGCTGATAATGACTTTTGAGCTGAGATCTCAACAATCTTCTTCTCTCCTATCGCGCTAGCATTCCCCTCCAATATGTTCATCGTAATCCGTAGCTTAAAGCCAAGGATCGGATTGAAAAAATTTTGCAAGCTCTTGAGCGAGTAGATCATAACGAGAGAGTCATTATTTAAATTAATCGCTAAGTCCATTATAATGTATATTCATTTCAAAAGAGTAACAAATGTGGGCTCGTTAAAGTATCTTATTAATCAAGAATATATTCCAATAAATTGTGCGAAGGTTGAATTCGGCAGTTGAGAGCACGAATAAGACGATTGTAGTTTGAAAATCCTAGAAAATAATATTAAGAGCGTGGCAAAGAAATTACATATCATGCATATCGCCAATCTAAATTTGCAATTTCATTGAGAATCTTTTTATAATTTCAAAAATTGTTAATTACTTATTTTGAGACCATCGCGCAATTGCACGCGTTATTAGTTGCTACAGGAATACTTATTAAATCAATACTTGATCGCTGTTTTAATAAGCGATTTTTTATTTTATATTTTATAAGCGTTTTATAAGCGATAAAACATATAAGCATAAATGTTTTAAAAGAATAATTTCAATGTGCTTTCTTTAACATTATTTAATGAGATACGGATGAGATTTACGGATTTGTTATTGTGATTATTCTTACCTATCAAGTACTTTTCATTATCGTACGGAATCATTTCAGTACTTTTATGCGATTGTCTCGTTAAAGCATTATAAATTCTTCTAAATATTTCAATAGCGCTATGATGCTCTATGCTCAATCCTACGATGAACTGAAAAAAAAAAAAACTAAACAAAACAAAAAAACTATAGCATACATTACTTAATTATTCTATATAATGTTGATTTTTACATAACAATCGATAATGTATTTGTGCAATATATTTATTTACTTTGAAATATAATCGTTGCATTGTAATGACTAGCGCGTATTTTGTGCATAAAAACAAATGTTTTGCCTCGGCTTCGTACAATAAATTTCAACTTAAGCGTACAATGAAAAAAAATTCTAATCATTGAACATATAGAGCTTAAAATTATCGATTCAATTATAATAATTAATTAGATCATTATTGTCAACGTTAAACAATTTCATTTCTTAGAGAAATAACTCGTAGAATATTAATGTAAGGTAAATACTTTTTTCCTTCCTGCGTAGAAGAATAGTCGGTAATTTGAATATTAAAAGCTAAAAACACTTTTTTTTTATTCTTCTATTCTATTCATATACGCGTCGAAGAAATACGTGATCGCATCATATTATTTTTTCTACGGTTTATTAAGTTATTCGAGCTAACGATTAGAATACGTTAAATGATCATAAATCGAATAATCATTCTCTATTCAATGCATAACATCATTTATAACATTTAAGTAATAAAAATTTAATGAAAAAAAAAAAAAAAAATTATATTCCGTAAATGTTTGTTCCAGGACCGCGATTATGCGATTATATTATTAAACTCAATTGCATTGCTATTAACTCGACAGTTAATTAATTGTTATTACTAATTTTAAATATTCTATTAATTCCACATAAATATTTATATTTCTTTTTTCTTTTTTCATTCTCTGTTACAAATTTCGTATTCAATATCGCTTATTAACCTCTGGACAATAACAATTAATTCGGAGGTAAACCGGTTAATACCTTTCCTACTGCTTTCATTAGACACATTTTTATTTTATTCTCTTTTAATTGGTACATATGGTAATACTAACAAATCCTTATCCCTTTCTTTTTATTTATATATATTTATTTATTTATTTTTTTATTTTTTTTTATTATTTTTTTTTTTGTCATTAAATAAATAGATTATAATTCATATGCGACGCTCGTAGTATTGCAAACTTCAAATATCGATGACGTAATTTTCAAAAATGAATTATCAAAGTTTTATACAAACTTTTCTATCACGGTACTATTAAAAAAAAAAAAATTAATTAATTAACATTTAATATATAATCGATAAAAAAACTTGGTTTATCAGAAAATTTATTTCTACGCTATTTTTATTATATTTGTTATCTCTCTTTTAAATGTTATGATGAATATTCTGTATGCAGTTGGTTTTACGTAAGAAACTAACAACAATCAACTTCGTTCAAAATAGGAACATTTTTCTTTTCTTTTTTTATTATTACTTTACATAATTTGACACGACAAAATTCCAAAAATTAATAATATATTTTGTAATAAAAGCCGTGCGTTCTATTACGCGTGTTGCGTGAGCTCATACAAATAAAATTAGCGTTACATAATTTTTATGCATACCTTTAATGCATTTGGATTAAAAGCGTGAACCAGATATATAAATCGTATAAAATATTAAATCTTATTAGCATATTATTGCATATTCGTCGACTGCAGGTTGAATTTTCGTATATTTAACTCTCTGTATTAAAATGAGATTCGAGTGAATTTAAAGTTTTGTTATATATCGTTTAAAATTAGTAAAATTAGATATATAATCTGTAACGATAAAAACTTACGAAATAAGTAGAAATAAAAAATTAGCATCAATTTCTTAATTAATAAGTTAAAAATTAATAAAAACAATCAATACATATAATTAAAATTTGTATTTTACTTTCGAATTTGTGATACAATTAGACCTATTGGAATCTAAATGAGCAGTCCTATGTACATTGAAGCTATACTTAAGCATTGTAGCTGCTAATAAATAATTATATATTTAATTTTAAATGAACTTTTTCGAAATTTTAGGATGATCGTTTTTTACTTACAATTACTTAAAATTACTTTCATATAAAATAATATACATAATAAAACAAATTTATACATTGAAATTGAATTTTTAAGTAAATGATCAGCCGTAGTATTGTATTTAAATAATTAATGCTTCAAAAAATTTTCTCAATTAAGATAACGGATTAAGAATTTAATACTCATCCATTTAATGTTAACTGAATTTTGCTACAGATAATTCAAATCAAACCAAAAATAAGAATTGATTTAATTATAATGAAATTGTTTTATTGGGAATGAATACTCATTACTTTGTTCAATTTGCAATAATTTATATCTACGAGTATTTAGAGAGAGAGAGAGAGAGAGAGAGAGAGAGAGAGAGAGAGATTATTCTTTAATTGTATATTGGATGGAAAAATTCTAGTAAATTTATCTTTAAAAAATTAGTGAAATATTAAAAATATAATCATAAATCGTAATAATATAAGTGCGTACTATTATTAATAAACGATGATAAATGAAAAAGTTACAAAGATTTTAGTTGACGACATTGTAACAAGTCACTTTAGTCCTTTATATGTAAAAGTTTGCAAACGCGTACAAACGTGAAAATATTAAGGAACGGACACAATAATATAGTGATATTTAATATAATAAAGTTGGAATGCACATGTAAATTATGTTTGGGTTCATACGTAATAACATACATAATTTAATCTGAAATATGCCATGAACCATTTATAAAATAAAATGAGATAAATATTAAATAACAAGGTAGTGTCAGCCAACGTAGTCAGTACAGACAAAATAAAATTATACAAATGTAAACGATAAAGATTTCACGATTCCTTCGATCATGTACGATTATTCTCAAAATTTTCAAATAATTAAAAAAAAAAAAAAAAAAAAATGCTGCATACTTATTTAAATAAATTTGATCTTTCAGTGCTAAAGAAATTCACATCGACTATATTATTGCGTTTAATAGAAATTAATGTAAATGGGTCATAGTTTTTAAACGAGCTTCGGCAACAAATCGGCAAATCAGCGGTATATTTTTCATTTTATAAAAGATGTCTTGCGTGTAAGGTGTGCCCTAAATAAATCGAATTAACCGAGTTTTTTTCCATGAAATTTAATTTTTCCTTTGACGGTAATATTATTAATAATATCGGCTCTGCGAATTTTTATATCACTGCTCGGAAGATCGGTAAAGTTAATTGAAAACAACAGCCTTGATTAATTGCGATTAACATTAAGTATTGTATTGCAATTAAAGTATTCTTTTCAAATATCACAGCTTAAACATTTTTTATCAAAGCAAATGTATGCTTAGCTTATCAAACGCACGATGACCCATTGCACGAATATTTCTCTCTGCAATTCCTTTGATACTCATGCATTTGAGCGATATCTTTTTATTGATCTCTTTTTCGTTGAAGCTCAACCCCCCCCCTCTCCCACCAAATAAGTAACAAAAAAATAGCAAAAACAAAAACCAAAAGAAAAACCAAAAAAACCAAAAAAAAAAACATATATAAAATTTTCGGTGAAGAATTTTAAATAATGTGCATAAGATCGAATACTTCGAATACACTAATGTGTGCTCATGAGAATGAATTTATTAATTCAACAGCCGAATCAGGATTATGTTTTATCCTCAGTAGGATTGCTGAATATTTTTTAATACAACGCGCTGATGCGATTGGTTTATTAATATTAGGCGATACAATTGAGTTGGAAAATTGATGAGACATTGGTATCTTTTAAGCGCGTGTTTCTCTTTATTTAAATATTAATAAAACATTCGTGTAAAATGTAAGTTATATTATTAATTATTATTGATAAGATAAACATTATATCGCACGCGCGGTAACGTAAGATCAATACTATTTCATGTTTACATTAAAATTTTTAATATTTATAATTTAATTTTTTCGTAAGTCGGTTAAGCATTTGGTTTTAATTACTGAAGTACGCTCATTTATTAAATCTGGAACACATAATGATTAATATTGCCTAAAAATGTTATTCGTACATTCGCAAAATTAATAGCCTTATTTTTTCTAAAATAGACGAAAACTTCTTAGTTTTCATTTCAGTTTATTATCAGACTTATTTAGATTAATTGTCGATTATGATAATATATCAATGTTAATTACTTATATATATATATATATATATACATTTTTTTTTTAAGGGTAATTAATTAACTTTTACCATTCAAATACACACGATAAGAACTTTGATTTTAAAAATAATAAAGATAATAACATTTTATTTTTAAAGGAGAAGATTGAACAAAAAATTTTTTTTTCAATACATTATATAGACATTTAAAAATACAAAAAGCTCATCGGTTGAAAGATAATTTAAAGAATAAAATAAGCTATGGTTTTTTTCCTAATATAATATTATTTTAAACTTTAATTTTAAACTTTTTTTCATCTTTTTTCTTGTGTGAATCATATCTCTCTCTCTCTCTCTCTCTGTGTGCGCGCGTGCGCGCGTGCGTATATTTAGGTATGTGTTGTTACATGTGTGGGAATGTGTATGCTTGGAAAGTAGAAATATTTGATAAGCATGTGAGAGCAGAAAACAATAATAAAACAAATTTACAATAATGTGATGTTGTAATGTTTTATTTTCAGTTTATCTCAGATTGGTCGTTATACTCTGTTGGAATTTTTCCAATTTTAAATTTTACATTTGTTCCTGTTTTCTTATTTTACTCTTTGAATATGCTTCGCCTTATTCGAACATTGTGTCGTGAATGTGACACTGCTGTGCAATGAGGAATGTTCACAATCTTACGTTGTGACGAAGGAATATTATATATCGTGACGGAAGTTGTTGAGATAAGGCACGTTGGCGAAATAATACATGCACGTAACATGGAAGTAATTGAAAAGTGTTTTTCGTTTTCATGCGATTTATTATATAGAAGTTATGTTTTTTTTGTTTTTTTTTTTTATGTATAACATGTGATTTGTGGAATAACATTTAGGTCAGAATAAGCCGTGTTTTGTGCTTTAAAAAAAATGTTAATTTTGACATTCGCCACTGTTCTTCTGATATTTTTAAATATTAAATTAAATTAAATATTATTGTGTAGAAATTTTATAATTGGATTTGATTATTATTAATTTTTTTTGCTCTCAAAATTGTAAAAACTAACAGAGCATTAAATGAATGATATATTTCTTGAGGTTAATTGTTGTATGAACAGCAACTCGCCAACCGAATGTTTAATTTATTATTGTATTATATAATCATATAATACAAAAATAATATTTTAACAACGTCGTCGTTAATAATGACAGGTTTGTTTTTTTAATATATTTGCATCATGAAAAATGAAAAAATCAAATAAAGTGCAATTAATTTCTAATATTAATAAATCAGGGAGAAGCCTTTTAAAATGCTTTAATAATAAATTACTTAATAACTTATGGTATTTCCCGAAATTTAAAATCCATATTTAATCGTTAGTAGTTTTTTTATATCCGAGTGACTAATAAACTATAGTTTTGTAAAAGCTTGATGTATTAATGATTAATATTATTAGAAATTATAATTTAAAGTTATAGTATATACAATTTATACACGTACCATATAATAATTAGATATTTTAATTATTGTACTATTAAAAATATCGTCCATTAGATTATGATTATGATATAAAGAAGGATCTTTATAATATTCTTGGATGTTTACCTAACTCGTCGTCGGAAGAAATTAAACAAGCATATCATCGCAAGATATTAGAGTCTCACCCAGATAAGAATGAAAATTCCCACCAGAATATTAAAATATTTCATGATGTTAAAGCAGCTTGGGAAATATTAGGAAATACAGATCGTAGAAGGAAGTACGACGCCAAATTTAAGCAAATTCAATTAGAAGCGGAGGGTGAACTTATTTATGCTAATTTACTTCCTAACGATTTAGAAGAAACTGAAGATATCGACACACTTTCTTACCAGTGCCGATGTGGAAATAGTTACATAGTTCAAAAAACTGATTTAGAACAAACTAATTGCGTTTTACACATTCCTTGTCAAGAATGTACATTCGTAATAGCGGTAGAAACATGATGGCGAATTATGGAGACGGTAATTAATTAATTACATTATGTATTTTATAATATATGTACAAAAATTTTAGGTAAGAAAAATTGTATTATAAAATAAATAAAATAACAAAGTTTTTAAAATGCAGCAACATTTTCTATTTCTTATAAAAAATGATACAACAGATAACACATTCTTATAATTATAAACTATTGAGCAATATACAAATAAAATACGGACTGCAAATAATCTGGGCCCAATAATAGTCAACACAGTAAAAGTATTCACATTTAATTAAAAATTTACCTGCCTTTTTTAATCTGTTACAGTAAAAGAGAAAGTATTTGATATTAAGCTCATTGGGTATCTTATATTAAACAAAATAACTCCATCATCGCGTGATGGAAATATTGAGTATATTTGTACAGTAAATTCATTCTTGTATTGTATTGTATTGCACAAAATAAATAAACTTTTGCATTTACTATTACTGGACTATGGCTAACCAGATTTTTACAGATATTTTAAAATCAATGATCATCACTTTGATACGCAACTCTTTCAGTGCTGATATTAACTCAACAGTTCATTCAGTATGTTTATTATGATTTTTTTTGTCCTTTGTATCATTCTCATCCCCTTAACTTATTTTCTTCATTCTGGATTTTCATGCCAAATGATATAAATTTCATTAATTGACAATTATTCATAAATTAAAAGAATTACATAATATAGTTGCTACGTGTCACAGTTGTGGGAGATCTTAAGATTCTCATTTTTTTTTCTCTCGCAAATTTAGCAATTTTCATTTTAACGTATCCATGAAAATTTTTTTACTTATGTACTAAAATACCGAATTGTTTAAATTACAGAAAGAATTCTATCAAATTTATCATAAGAAATTCTTTTATCTACAAAAAGAACTTTGACTTTTTTCCCTAATGGTATTTTTTTTACAGATTAAAAATTTTGATTTACTTAAAGTCTTAAATAAACAGATTACAAATTATAACAATTTTCACAGAGAAACCAACGTACGATATTTTTCTTTTTAACTAGCGCAATAATCAAGTTAACTTTACAAGAAATGATACCTTTTTGAAATAATAATTGACTCGTGACGTCACACGCGTGTAACACGTCTTCTTCCCGCGCTTACGATTTCGTAAAACAAAATTTCATTTTTAACACAATTTAAATTTGATAATAAACATCACAATAATCCCATCCAATCTAATTTCTTTTTTCAGACTCAATGCTCTCAAGTATGATACAATATCTTGGTAAATATAGCTTATCATTTAAGTATAATTCATGCAAGGGAACCTAGAAAAAGTTTGTGAAAAATATTGCAAGTTTCTAAAATATTAAATTTACACAAACTAATTAAAATACAGTCAACACTCAAACATTTTTTAATTAACAAACTTTCATTATTATTTGGAACATTTATTTCTAATGTGCCTGCATGAACCATCAAAAATGAAAACTGCTCGGCACATTGTAGGAAAAAAAATGCCCTTTATATACCAATACATCAGTCCACAAAACGTCAGAGAGCTTCAGTGCCTCCAACGATTCTTTAACTTTTCAGTGCAAAGTAAAAAATAAGTTCTTAATTTGGAAAGATCTCTTTCTTCATTCATGTTAGTGTATACATACATATATACATATATAAAACATACGCACATACACACACACGCAAACATATATACATATATGTATATATATATATATATATATATGCGTACATACGTACAACAATATATATATATATATATATACCAGATATACATATGCATGCATGCGCATGTGTATATATATACACACACAAGTATTTATAACTGTTTAAAACAGAAAGATTTAACATGACCAGTTAAGTCCTTTATTCAGATTACAAAAAGAATTTCTATTAAGTGTTAGAACAGCCTTTGATAAATTTTTGGAAATTATTTAAATTAATAAAAAAAAATAATTATAAAATGTTTAAGTTAGAACCCCAAATAAATTAGTGAAGTTGCATGTTGTATACTTTTAAATGTAAAAGTATCATCATTATATATAAATTCGCATTTGAGTAAACGGAATATGTTCAAGCCATCGAAAAGTGATTAAGTAATACGGATTAATTTATAATTTCGTACTTATTAAATTGTGGAAGTCTATGCAAAAAATGAAATACGAATTTTATAATTAATATATCTGGGAGTGGGTGGGTGCGCGCGCGCGCGCGCGCGCGTGTGTGTGTGTGTGTGCATATGCATGCGCGAGTGGGTGTACGTGTGTGTATAAATAATATGAGACTTTTAAAAGTTGCCCGAAGTTATTAATTAGCGGTTACTTATCATAGGACTTTTCGAACACATTCGAGTAACTCAAGGTAAAATGGTAAATACAGAATCCTGATACGTAACTTGTTAAGGAAGCAAGGAAATATAATTACGTTACGACTCACTGTTCTGCCGATCCAGACATGGGCATCTTGCGTCATTTTGAAATATTCATTTACTTTCGAATATGATTATTATTGTTAATACTGAAAATTTATTTGAATAATCTATAAAATATATATACTGACACTATTAGTAGTTACATTGTAAAAGTGACGATATGAAAACTAAAGTTAAGAATAAAGCGTTAAGTAACAATCGTCACTTAATTAAATAATTTCCTTAGATTTTTTTTAGCGATAAAAAAAATATATAAATATATAGTATATGTATATCAAGAATCTATATAAATAAAAACTTTTTCTCTCTCTCTCTGTGTGTGTGTGTGTGTGTGCGCGTGTGCGTGTGTGTGTGTGTAAGAAGGTTTTGTAAACTTTAGTTGCTTCACGATCCGAATAATCAAAATTAAGTTTGCTCGGACAAAAGTCAAACTACTTTAATATCAATATACAATTTTAATTCGATAGTTTGGTATGCAAAGAACGTTCTATAAAGAATTCCATTTTATCAATGCCTATCGTGAATTATTTATTTTCTACTTAGACTTGGGGTACAATGTATTCAAATTGCAGTAAAAAAAAAAAAAAAAAAAAAAGGGGGAAAAGGGGGGGGGGGGGGGGGGGTAATCGAGAGAATTAAAAAAATCACTTGGGTTACATGCATAAACTAATTTTGCAGTTTCATTTTTTCAAAATGACGAAAGCTACCGCAAACGCGTCTGTACCCGCTCATATTAACAATACACTTCGTACTTCTAAATAGTCCAGTGTCTCATTCGCCTTTCTTATATAATCATTCTTACCATGCTCTCCGGATAGCACTCACAAGCGCAGCCACAAGCAGTCTTATTCACAATCATACGCAACGCCATGCACGAAACATTGTACAGTAGATTGGTTATACTATCTAAGTTTAAAGTATTTACAGAAGTCACATGAGGAAAATTGTTCTGTCTTCACCTTTTCCTTACATCCTCCTCTCCCTCACACCTGCATCTTTCCATTTTTTGATTCGAGTGCGAGCGGCAACACAGGTTAACGCCCCTACGCCTTCGTTTTTACCGTTTTAATGATTTGTCCTTAATTAATTAATTAATAATCGTTAGCGTTAAATGTTTTGTTTTTTGTTTTTGTGATTTGCTTATGCTTATTATGATTTTATTTGACTTCAACGTCAAAGTCGAGTACGAGGAGTTTCGTCTCCTCGGTGCCATTGCGACTGCCTACCGCGCAGACGAGTTTCGTGTCGCTCGCGCGGATTCGCCAGACAACGCCGCCACTGCCACCGCTCTCCAACGCCACGAGGTTCCTTATAAATTCACCTGCCGACATCACAATGCATTTCGTTTATTCCATTGGTATACCAACAATTATTGCACGAGTCTTAAGTGACTATGAGGCGAATGAATGAAGGAAGGAAGGAAGGAAGGAAGGAAGGAAGGAAGGAAAAAAGGAGAAAGAAGATGAACCCGATGGTAATGTCGAACGAATGAGATTCAATGGGAAAATGGTACGCACCAGTCTTGACATCCCATAATTTCACGGTGCCATCGTCGGACGAAGTAATGACGAAGTGGCTGTTGAACTGCAGACAAGTAACGGCCGACTGGTGCTTATTTGGACCCGACAATGTTTGTAGACAATGTCCGCTTACGATGTCCCACACCTTGACCGTCGAGTCGGCGTTACCCGACACGAGAATATTGTTGCGCAGCTCCATGCCCGAGGTAAGGCTTTGATGGCCCATTAGGGTGTGTCGACAAGCACCGGTCTCGACGTCCCACACCCGGATGCTCGTGTCCAGCGAGCCACTCACCACGTGCACTCCGTCAAACTGCGAGAAAACGAAAAAAATGCCATACATAGGCTTAACGGGGCGGCAGGTCTATAACGCAGACGTCGGACTCCCTTTTCATCCCCAATTTTAAAGTCCAATGAAATCTTTATTACATAATTATACGACCCTTAATCAAATACGTTATATCAGCCGCATTAACGATCCATCAAGATTTTATCTGTGTACTAGACATTCGCAGTGCCCTTTGGGAAGAATAGAAAAATAGGTAAGCGTGGGCTTTGCAAGCTCGAGTGTCACCGTAAGACCGACTGGCGAGAAGAAGGGATTGAGCGCGGCTGTGCCGAGTAGTGGTGGGGCGTGGCGCGAATGACCGACCTGCAGCGAGTAGACCCTATTCGTGTGTCCCTGCAGCGTGTGGAGGCACTCCTCCCTCTCCGGATTCCACACCTTGACCATGTAGTCGTAGGCACCGCTGACGACCAGCTTGCCGTCGTATTGCACACACCTCACCGCGGCCAGATGGCCGACGAGCACGTGGAGGCACTCGCCCGTGTCTATTCGCCAAACCCTCAGAGTCGCGTCCCTGCTACCGCTGACGACCTTGTTACCATGCAGGTGCATGCAACGCACCGTCGACGTGTGGCCGAACAGCGTGTGTATGCACTCGCCCGTCTCCGCGTTCCACACCTTTAAGGTGCGATCTGTGCTGCCGCTTATCACCGTCGTGCCGGACATCTGGGACGACCAGACGCCGCCCGTGTGGCCGCACAGCGTTCGCAGGCACTGTAATCCAACGATTAAATTGCTTTTTACAATCTTTTTAATCGTGAGCTCCTAGCGCGTATCCTTGTTCATCTCGAAATTAATCGAGCGCTCGGCTTTAAATTTAACGTTTTTTTTTTTTGTTTGTTTGTTGCGATTGCACCTCTTTATCGCTTTAATGCATTTCTTTCTTTTTTCTTTTTTCTTTTTTCTTTTCTTCTCTCTCTCTCTCTCTCTCTCTTCATTTTACTCCAGACACCGGGAATAAACGAGCCCTGATTCCCGGAAATGGCGATCGACGGAACTGAACAAACGATACTGACCTTGCCAGTTACGGCGGACCAAACCTTCAGCGTGTTATCGTCGGAGCCACTGACGATTCTGTTCCCGGAGAATTGCAGACACGTGATCACATGATCGTCGTGGCCTTTGAGCACCTTTGGCGGCCGAATTGGCTTCGTCCTCCAGTTCATCTTGATGTTGTGCTGCCTCATATAGGCCTGCTTCCAGGGCGAGGCGCTGTTGTTGCCCGGCGAACAATTGGCCGTCGCGCACTTGGCGCTCTTGCGCCTCGGTACGTCCTTGAGATCGTCGATGCCCGCCGCCCGGCACTTCTCCTTCCATAAGAGATTGTCGTCCGCGAGGAAACGCCAGGAGCGGCAGGTCTGGGCGGCGCGTAGCAGGTCGCGAGGCTCCAAGAACGCGAGTACCGACAGCGCCAACTCTTTCGGTAAAAGGGAGATAAAGTCGCGCTGAAATTGGGGCTCGATCACTTGCATCATATGGCGGACTTGGGTCGGCTCGCAGCGCTCGATCAGTTCGTCGATCGCGAGCATACGCTCCGCGTTCGACCACCTCTGTGGATTACGTGAATCGTCGTTTTATTGGGCGATAAAAAATTATTGTTAAGTATTTGCTCATAAGCCGTAGCTCGTGATCGAATGGTTTTGGATGATTTTTTTTTATATAATTAGAATTTGATAGGTACTTGCTGCCGATTGTAGACAATTATCATCGCAAGACATTCTCTTTGCTAATAAAAGAGGTTATACTCATCCGAAAGCTATTAATTTAATTATCGAAGCATTTAAATTCCTTTATTGCATAAAATACCTAATGTTTAATTAATCGTAAAAATTCTTTTCCTGAATTCTTAATAAATTATTATAATATATAACATAACAATAAATTAATATTCATAAGTTTTAAATTGAAGCGATGTATTGTTAAAATTTCCAATTTTGTATCTTTTATTCTGCATTCAAACGAATTTATGACGATTCATTCTTACAAATTATAAAATTAACAAATACATTATTAACATTATATATATAATATAGTCCATATTTTTAAAATTATAAATTTTTCTAATTGTGTAAGCCACTGATTCCAGGCATAGAGAACTACAATTCATATTAGAGAAATAATACAAGAGCATTAAACAAAAATTTTCATCAGGGTTTTCTAAATTTACACCGATTTATATAAATATCAGCTGCAATTAATGCGAAAGAATAAAAGTATAATGATAATCTAATTATGACTTCAATTTTGAATTTACATTTTGAAATAATATATACTCTAAATGTTACAAAATTTGTTTTATAAATCTGTGTTACTATGAAATTCAATATCAATTAATATATGTAATCCATGTAATAAGCACATTTAGTATTGGAAAATATAAATAAAGTATCGAACGATTTGATTTAATTCAATGTGAATCATTTAAATTTAACATTGAATGTTACTGTAAGTTTGTTTTAGTTAGTCAATGCAATTAGTATCGAATCAACCTTGATTCTGTCTTTATAGTATAAAATCAATTAAATAAATTCAAAGTTAACGAATCCCAACCTGAAATTGTATAAGCCAATCACTCATTTCTGGAGGAGGATTATCCTTTGTCGGAATGACTGGTCGACCATGCTTCACTTTCTCGTCAAGTCTCTTGAGACTTCTGCAGTAAACATTAAAATATGAACAAAAAAAATATATTATAAATTTATAGTTCACTTTACTACTTTATTTTATGATCACCAATAGTTTTTTCTAATAAATTACTGACTGATATATTTGAACTATTTGTAGAGTTGTAATGTTAATGGTTATAGATTTATAAAAATCATATATTAATTATTCACAACAAATATCTAAACAAATACAATTACATACACATTAGGTTTTTCCTCAGGACTGGGCTTTTTACAAGGTAAACTGGATTCAGTCTCACTTTTACGTTTCCTTGGAGGTAATACGACATCCAAGGGTACGCACGTTTCCAAATTTGGACTTTGGATACGTTGTGGCAATTGTGGCTGCCTTTGTAGGGCCAGTGATTGACAATCCGTCTCGTCAATATCTTCTTCACACTCTGCATCGCAAAACAGACCCGAATCACTGATCTACAAAAGAGAGGTTATGTTATCACATGTCAAATATTTTTCACTAATCGCGAGACACTTTAAAAATCAATAATACTGAAATATAAGTTATGTTTCACCTCGCAATCTTCTTCGGTACTTTCTTCCTCCTCCTCGTCAGCCGTTTCTCCATAATCATCCAACTCTTCATTTTGTGGTAATGGAATCTGTTCTAATGTACTGGGACCTGGGACACCCTCGACTCCTTCTATTGGACTTGGACTTGTACCACCTGGTTTTACGCTGGCTATTCCCTTGGACGACGATGGAGGGACAGACATTACTGGCGTATACTATAAATAAAGTGATTTATAATCAGAGTTAATGATTATAGCATTTTAAAGAATTAATTTTTATTTACAATTATTTTTAAATATTTTTACACACCCTTATTTTATTTTAATGCTGTCTTAATCATATTTCATTGATAAATAGCATTATGATTCATTCAAATAATTTAGAATTTAAAATAGTTGAACACCAAATATAGTACTGACATATGATTTGTATTCAAGTCTTTGTTTGAATAATTTCTGACCTTTCAAATATATTATATGATAAATGAAAACAGTTTAATATTTATAAAGTCCAATACTTTTATCATATAGAAATATTTCAAAACTAATTTAGTTTTTATTTTTAAACTAACTTGCACATAAGCACTTGAAATGCTAAATCATCAAAAAAGTTCTGCAGTTGTTTCTTAGCAACAAACAAAATTATCACAACATTCTCAATAATTCGACATACACTCGAAAATATTTATTAATGAAAAATAAACATTGAAAATTAAATATTTAAAACATTCTGGAGCAAGAATATCGTGTTACACCATTACGAAAAACTCTCCAAAACTAATCAGCACATTGGAGCAAATTCAAAAATTCGAATATTACACTTTTATTTATTGAAACAAAACAAAAAACCCTATTGCTAATGCTCATAATTAAACCGAAAAAACAATGCAAATTTCATACCGGAGTTTTACATTGCAAAAGAGCAGCGATATTTTTAACTAAGAAAGCGTGCGATTAACGGGTAAAGATGAACCTAACCTTGATACTACACGCAGTTTTTGCCTGCATTATATTGTATATAATAAATTTGATGCTAAATTTGTTATCATTCTAATCTAAAGTACTAATGGAAAATGTACAACTCGCCGGTTCTTCGATATAATGCCTCGCCACACCCTAAAAGGACTTGGAAATTTTCTGCCTAAAAGGATACACAACGTATGAACAGCAGAAGAGGGGGAGATTGGGGGTTAGGAACAAAACGAGGGGTGGACATATCTGCTCTTTCTTACTCCGAATTCTCGAGAAAATCGCCGATTTAACAAGAAATCATTACTTGCTAATCTCGTTGTCCGGCCCGATGTTCCTCCAAATCTTCAGCATGTGATTAATAAATTAAAATAAATAACAGGAAATAAACTCAACACGATCTGGCTATCTGCTAGTCTTGTGAGTGCAGAGGGAGAGGAAGAGGCAACAACACCAAGAATCGTGGCGTGCGTGCCCTCCTTCTTTTTTTCTTTCTTTTTCCTCTCGCGAAGAAGAGAACTATAAAGAAGAGACACTTTTCCCAGGGACCGTGGGAGAGAGGAAGGCATACACACACACATTATATATATACACGCTCGCGCACACACATGCCGTCTGCACTCACGCGCTCCATATTATAACCTTTACAAAATGAAAATTAGCCCTTGCACTGCTGCGTGTATTATTTTCTACTGCTTTCCCATATCAGTCGAGGAAAATATTTACGCTATACAGTCATAGATAGGACTGCGATAGATAAGATAATCCGGACCAAAAATCAGATATGTATCTAACCTCGTGGTGGTAGGTGGGTTTTACGCTCGCGGTGTTTGCTCGCCTCCGTCCTCCTGCTTGCCGTCGTCGCCGCCGTCACCGTCGTCACCGCCGCTGCCGCAGCCACCGCCACCACCGCAATCGCTACCGCAACCGCCACCGCCGTCGCCGCCACCGCCGCCGCCGCCGCCGCCGCCGCCGCCGCTGCCGCCACCGCCACTGTCGCCGCCGTTGCCGCCGCCGCCGTTGTCGTCCTCGTCACCGTCGCTGTCGTTATTGTCGCTGTCGTCGTCGTTGTTGTTGTTATGGTTGTTGCTGTCGGTATTATCGTGTCGTCGTCGTCGTCGTCGTCGTCGTCGTCGTCGTCGTCGTCGTCGTCGTCGTCGTCGTCGTCGTCGTCGTCGTCGTCGTCGTCGTCGTCGTCGTCGTCGTCGTCGTCGTCGTCGTCGTCGTCGTCGTCGTCGTCGTCGTCGTCGTCGTCGTCGTCGTCGTCGTCGTCGTCGTCGTCGTCGTCGTCGTCGTCGTCGTCGTCGTCGTCGTCGTCGTCGTCGTCGTCGTCGTCGTCGTCGTCGTCGTCGTCGTCGTCGTCGTCGTCGTCGTCGTCGTCGTCGTCGTCGTCGTCGTCGTCGTCGTCGTCGTCGTCGTCGTCGTCGTCGTCGTCGTCGTCGTCGTCGTCGTCGTCGTCGTCGTCGTCGTCGTCGTCGTCGTCGTCGTCGTCGTCGTCGTCGTCGTCGTCGTCGTCGTCGTCGTCGTCGTCGTCGTCGTCGTCGTCGTCGTCGTCGTCGTCGTCGTCGTCGTCGTCGTCGTCGTCGTCGTCGTCGTCGTCGTCGTCGTCGTCGTCGTCGTCGTCGTCGTCGTCGTCGTCGTCGTCGTCGTCGTCGTCGTCGTCGCCCTCACAGTCGTACTCGTACCCCCCCAGTTTGGAACTTTGTCTACGACTGTATGACCAGTGTTGGTATTGGTAGCTGTCGCTCAGAGGGGAAATCGACAAGGCAACGTGCAGTCAAAGATTTTTTATGAGTGTGTTGCGCCGCGCAAATATGACACGGAACATCGCCTAATGCGCGTGGAAATATACGTCACGGGCCTATAGCTATATCTCTTTCTAGCCATTTAAAAAGCGTATGTCGCATAAGTTGTGACGTACGTCCTCGCCTTGTGATCTCACTTGGCTGCTGTCCGAGGCGCGAGGTTAGGTTAGCTCTGACGATCCTCGCCGCGGGCGTTTACTCCCTCGTGCGCGTATGAGGTGTCGGCGTGAAGAGAGCGAGATGATATTTTTAATGCAATAACGAACAGCCGCTATTGAAAATTTATTCTTTATCATACGTAGCAGAATTTAATTAAACAATCGCCAATTGCTGGGCTAATCGCCAAGAGCTGAAAGTGAAAAGCGCGTCAGGGATTGCTTATTTATCATGTAACGCAGAAGGAACGGCGGCAGAACGACGAGTGAGCTCGTGTTTTTGCGGGGAACCATGTGGTTTACAGGGAGTGGTCAGATTTGTAATTAATACGTTTGATTTATGATTTACGGGGCAAAAAGTATATTTTTTATGGAAATACATTCACGGATTCGAAAGACCTGTATACTTGCATAGAATAAATTTGCATAAACATTTGCGCAACTAAAGATACCAAAAGAGAACAATCCAAAAAATAAATGAATCATGCGTATAAATTCGTCCATCAGTGCTTATATATGTGCGTTAAACCAAGACTTTAATGACATTTAAGGTAATATTGCCATTAATGTCGTTAACTTGTGTTTTTCCTCACATATTATTAATTCAATCGGTCTGTTCTTACTTTCTCTTTTTTTTTTTTTTTTTTCTTTTTTTTTTTTTTTTTTTTTTAATTCTCTGCGTATTCGTTGTAAAACGAGAAATTTTTGCTTAATACTGAATACAACAAATTTTTCCTCTCAGCAGATAATGAATATCAAACAAATCAAAGATAAATATCCTTCTCGACTCATTATATTAAATTTTATTAATACTTTATATAATTATAGTAATTTAATGATAAATTTTATATTGTTTTCAATACTTAATAACAATGAAATATTGATATGATTAATGATAGAGTTTGCGTGTAGTAGCACAGTTTCGAAAATTTGTTCGAAAGTCTGATCGATTGGTAATGGAAATAGCATAAACTGACATTTTATTGGATTGACTGGATTTTAATTTTATACCTAAATTAGAAGTTAAGTGACGTGCAAACTTAGATTCTTTATTTGTTCATTCGATCTTACGACCTTGAGAGCAATGCAATTTCACATTAATTAATGTTGAGAACTCCGATGTATTTTATCCTAATGACAATGTTATCAATCGCAACATGTATGTAATCGTTAATTACACTATAGAGATATACTATGAACGATGTTTAATTGTTAAATTCTATTTGTAATAATTTTACATGCATTACTGTAAGTTTGATGACATGCGGTGATGTCGGATACAAGTCAGTTTTCAGCTTCTGATGCTTTCGGGCTGAGATTTCACTCCATACATTTATATTTGAATAGATAATTTATCATGTATATGATATTAGAAATTGCACTAGAAATGAACTAATACTTACCGATATTGTGCTCCACAATTTATTTATCTAAAAATTACTACAATTTTTAAAATAATATAGATGTTTGTTAAATTTTGAGATTTATGATTGATAAAAGAAGAGGTTTAACAAAAATTTTTAAACCCACGAAATTTCCTTATTAATGAATTTAACAATAATTCATAATGTAATTATTAACAACTAAGAAATTTTCATTATGTAGTCAAATGAATTTAGAATACTTAAAATTAACATCTATTGAAATTTACATACAATTATTAACTTAATGTTAAGCAATTATTTTACTTTATTATAGAATATCCAAATTTATGATATTATAGTAATTCGATTTCGAAGTTGTATTATTGATGAATTTAAGACACCAAAATTATCTAAAGTACACTTTATAGAATCTAAACTATGCTTTACAGATGTACATAGATTTTGAAAAATTCAATGCTCTGCTTCTACAAAATGGCCTAATACTTCATAGTACATAAGTTTACAAATAACATTTACATTTTACAAGATTTGCAATTATCAATATGTAATTAAAGATAAATCATAGATAAGCAAATATATGATTTTGAAGATACTACAAAGATTTAATTTTAGTATTAATAATCGTCATAAAATTTTTTAAATATAAAAATCTGTATAAAATTTACAATTTTTAAAGATATTTATGGCATTTTTACTGGTATTGATAATAAATATTATAGACAATAAATATAAATGAATTATAGAATTTTACAAAGCTAGACAAATTTGTAATTATTAATCTCGATTATTTTTGAATTATATTAATTAAATATAAATTAAAATCATAAAACATAAATCTTATTAATAATATATAACTTTATAACAATATATTATGTTTTATTTGATTTATATTACGCTTACACGCATATTATTCAATTAATAAACAATATTATATTTTAAAACAACATCATTTTTAATATATTTAATCACCTACTATATGTAACATAATAATAATACTATTTATATCATCAATTTCCGACATGCATAATTAGAATTTTAATTTTACAGGTAGATAAATGTATATATATATATATATATATATATATATATATATACATATGCCGGAGTCATTGAAATTTTCTTTTTCGCGTGAATCGCAGGATGAATATACAATAAATAATTTAAGACAATGATAAGACATACAAGTTATATTATTGGTAAACAATAAACACTTTTCATTTCTTTATCGCAAAGATTTTTGATAATACAATTAGTATGCGATTTTGAATATCGTTAACATACTTAATAATTCAAAAACAAAAGCATTTAAATATTAATACATAGTTCTATTATTTGTATAAATTATCAATTGTTATGAAATAAAATCATACAATTTTTTGTATTTTTATTCAAGGGTTGAGGGCATAATTGAATGATGATTAAAAAAAAAAAATCAATATTATTTTACGGTTATTGATTAATGGTTAATATTACATCTCATTGTTTTATTGATTTATCATTGAAATTAAAAATGTATTATCTTCCAATTGAAATAATCTTTTAATTTTTTGAATTGCTTCAATATTTAGTTTAATTTTATTAGATTTTGTAACTATCTATGTGTAAAATTCTGTCGAAATTTAATAAAAGTCCAATTACTTTTATTTTCTAAACTATAAATAAGTAAATAAACAAATAAATAAATAAATATATTAAGTAATTATATTAAACAAATAAACTATTAATATTACAACATATTAATACGTATATTTTTAATACAATTCGTGTGAACATTTTGTCAAAAATTGTTTGAAAATGTCATAGGATGTATTAATAAATTTGAATAGTTCCCATTGTAAATATCTTTTTTTCTTCTTCTTATGATTTAGTTTAATCAAATGAAGTGAAATCTTTGTTTTTACATTCGAATCAATTTTATGTCATAAATTGGTATTGTTATACTTTTGTCCAATGATTGTAGATAATTCTTAACAAATAAACATTTATTGCAATATAATATGAATAATGGCGATGGGCGTGGATTATTGTATAAAGCGACTCTTTCAAAGATATTATTTGGATAAAAAAGTATGAAAAATATCGAAGGAATATTTTTCTAACGACGACGATTGTAAATTTTCTCATTAAATAGATAAGGAATTCCTAATAACTAAATTAAATTATCGTTTTAAATCGAAACGAAATATTTTTTATTTAATCATCATTATAAAGTAAAAGTATCGCTAATGAATTCTTATTACAAATTAATAACATTATGAGTCTAAGTCAATCATGAAATAAATTATAAAATTAATTATAATATAATATGACAAATACTTAATATTTACATATAATTTATATTGTTTCGTTAAATAAACTATTTTACAAAAAAAAAAATAAAAAATACAATAGGTTAAAAAATAATATAGCGTAATAGCATATAGAAAGAAAATCTTGAATATTAAAATACATAAACTATGATTTTTTTTTCCTTCACACATAGAATATGCAGTACCGTCATCTCTGATGTTGCAAATGAAATTGATTAACTGTCGGTAAATATTTTCGGTATGCTATGCGACATAATGCGAATGACTGTTCACATAACCTTTAATGATTATGGTGTATGGTTTGCTTTTAAATTGTAATCATGGCTAAGATTATTAATAAAAATTTATTATCTAGGAATGTATTGGAGAAGCTTGATAAATCTGTAAAATTAAGCATATTTATATTTTGTATAATTACGCGTGCATATTAATGTGTACATGAAAGCGCAGATACGTATATATTTATATTATGTTTATTTTATGTTTTAGCAATTGATAGACAGAGTTTTACAATTGGAAGCTCATAATTTTCAACTTAAACAAATTATTAAGAAGACAGATAACGCTTCAAATAACATTAAGACAGATGCTGTGAAGAGGAATTTTGATTTTACAAAGTCAGTATACATTCGAATTTATTTATAATGTTGGAATGTAGAGGTCGATATTTTAACTTTAAAATGTTTTTGTAGATGTCAAAAAAGGCATGTTTTTATGAAATTATCCTACTTAGGATGGGATTATCAAGGGTTTGTTGTACAGGAGGATTTTGTAAATACTATTGAGCATTATTTATTTGCTGCTTTAATAAAAAGTTGCTTGATAGAAAGCAGAGAGACATCTAATTATCATCGTTGCGGCAGAACGGATAAGGGTGTGAGTGCATTTTCACAAGTCATCTCTATTGACATTCGAAGTCGCCTTGATTTAGTAAAGCAGGGATCGCTAATCGATGAAATACCATATTGTAAAATTTTAAACAGACTTCTTCCAAAAAATATTCGATGTATTTGTTGGGCTCCTGTAGGAGATATGATTTCAGCTAGATTTAATTGTAATTGGAGAGGTTATAAATACTTTTTTCCACGAGGAAATTTAAATATTGACCTTATGAACGAAGCCATTCAATATGCCATTGGTAAACATGATTTTCGAAATCTTTGTAAGATGGATGTGGGAAATGGTGTTGTCAATTTCTCACGAGATATAATCGAAGCTCAAGTAGTTTGTTTAACCAAAGAATGTGATTTAAGAAATTCAGGTGAATATTAATTCTTTTATGCATCCCTTTAAAGTGAGGGGTGATTTTTACAATTAAAAAAATAGAAAATTAATACAAATAAACAAATATAATTCTAATTTGATTTCTTTCATTTAATCATTAAGCATATGACATGTGTGAATTTTCAATAAAAAGCAATGCTTTTCTATGGCATCAAATTCGCTGTATAATGGGTATTTTATTTCTTGTTGGATATGGACAAGAAAAGCCCGAAATCATTAAAGATTTATTAGATATTGAAAAATGTCCGGAGAAGCCTCAATATAACATAGCTCATTATATTCCTTTAAACTTATTTTATTCTTATTATAATGATGTAAATTGGAATATAGATAAAGAAGAAATTCAAAAGGTTATTAAAGATTTGCAGGAAGAATGGACTTGTGCTGCAATCAAGTAAAATAATTAATTGTACGTGAAGTGAAAAATATTTTTAATAAAATTAAACTTAATTCATTGTTGTAGATGTACAATGACAAGAAGTATGTTAACAAATTTAGAGACTTTATTAGATGATAAAAGTGTTAGTTTAAATTTTCAAACTGATTGCCTGATGCAAGGAGTTAAACGGAAAATTTACCAACCATTGATGCAGCGTCAAAGATGTGGTAAGTTATTTCATGCGATTGTACTTTTTATCAGTCTATATTTACTCGTAATTAAGTATATAGTTTCAATGTTATTAGAAAACTATATGAAATAGATCCATGAAAAAGATAATACATTAATCTTATTACAGTACACTATTAATATATTTTACTATTTAATTTGCATTTAATTAAAATTATTTTATATAAAATTTTTATATCCTTGTAAATAATATCCTTTTTTCTATTATCTATCTATATTCGAATACATTTTTTTTCTTTTTTTTTTTACAATACCTTTATATAAAACAAAAAAATTCCTGCAACTAATACAAATTTTTTGTGTAAATTTATGTTATACTTATTTTAACAACAGTTTTTCAAATATTAGTCTTGCTAATCAAGAATTTTTAAATTTGCCTATAAGTAGGTGGAAACACTTGTACGTATTATAATTATATATTAGCATAGTGAAATTTGATAGTTTTGCTTATAATTTTAGATGTGTAACGATAGTGTTACGAATTCATTAGAAATATATGATTGATTGTGATTACCTTATATTCCATATCTTTTAAAAGCAAAATTTAAACTAATTATACAAATTAGTGAAAATAATAATTTTTTTTATATTCATGACAGAATTGTAATAAATGTAAGCATAATGTAACACATTACTAATTGTAAACAAAATGTAGTGCAATAAATTACGAGCCTGACATTAATATAAAAAAAATTTCAATTTAATAGTACCCGAATAATTAGTCATTTTTAAAATCAAAAATATTACAAAAAATTTTAATTATTTTTGTAATTATTCGTAAGCTACGTAAAAGTCATTGCCATAGAAATAACAATTGTAAAAAAATAGATGTTTTATTAAAAGTATTATCACATAAAATTATTGTTTATAACTTACGAAAAGAAAGACAAAAGATTTAATAATTTTATAATGAATGCAAATTGCAATTGTTGTTTATTCAAATTATTTTTTTCATTTGTATTAAATTAAATTTCATAAGATTATTACGATTTATTATGACGTTTTATCAAATTTAATTCTACTACATGTTTTTGTAATATGCTTACAAATAGCTTTAATCTTTAAATTTAGAATGTAATTAGAAAATTAATTTTCTGTTATTCTTTAATTTAAAATTATAAAAAAAAAATCGATGACAAAATCAAGATCGTTCATTTATATTTCTCCTATAAATAGGTCTTTCGACATACTACATACACAAAGTAAAAAACGTTACGTAATTCATAATAAGTTAAATATTTAAAATTAAACAAATAAAATAAAGAACGATGAATATTTTTTATTTATTATAAGTATTATTATATATATTTCATTAAAATTGAATTTTTTTACTCTTTATTAATTAATTTTATTTATAGTTTAGATGTTTTTCCTTATAAAAAGGTGAATATAAGCAGATATTTGTGTCGAAATTGATCGGATATGCAATTTTAAATAAGGAATAGGAAATGTTATAATTAATAAAAGGTTTTTGTACAATAAATACGATTATTTTTATAGTATTTTTGAAAATATTATACAAATGCATTTGAGTTTCTAATTATAAATAATGAATATAAAGATAATATTTTTATATTTATTTTAGTTACACGTTTAGAAATAATATCTAAAGTAATTATATTCTAATAATATTGAGATAATTTTTTTTAAAATATCTATAGGACCAATTGTCTAATAGAGAAAGAAATCATAAATGTAGACAAAATTATTTACGGTATTTTTTCTCCCGTTTTTTTTTCTTTACACTTAGAGAGAGATATGATATAGAGATAAATAAGATAAATAATTTGATTTCCTCATTACGTTATTAAGAAAGTTGAGCAATTTTTCTAATTGAATGTAAAAATTCTTTAAAACTTGATTGAAAATTTGATTATTTTAAGTATTTGCGAAACATTTGAAGGCGTAAAGTTGTTTATAAAATATATAATTTATACATGCATATGTTCCATCGTTAATTATCATAAAATGAAATTTAAAAATTTTAAATTTTAACAAAGCAATTTGTATCTTGATTGCTAATGATAAGCGTTAAATTAAGAAGACAATTATTTTTTGCTATTTACTTAAAGCTCCAAAGCGAATAAAAATTGCAAATAACCGTTTAAAGAAAAAAATATAAAATTAAAGGACAATGATGTATTGGCCATTTGTCGATTGTAATAAATTACTATGCAATATGTGAGATGGAAAAAAAAAGAAAAAAGATCGTTACACCGCTACGATGAACAATCCCTGGATAATATTACTATTACCTTCTATATAAGTTTGTTGTGCATCTGAAGTAAATAATATTGTCAGTCCCATTCGAATGTTTATTTATAGTTGTAAATCATTTCACTTATTTTCAGTTCAAAAGTCTCAATAATCGATAATTATGCCAATTAAAATGTGTATAAAAAGAGCACAAAGTAAAAAAAAGTACGAAGCTTGTATAACAGCACGAGTCACACCAATATTTAATTTATTTTCAGAAAGTCTTGAAAAGCGCATTGAGCACTACGCAAAAAAACGAAGGCTGGCAAAAACGAGTTAGTGATTGGCGAATCATCCAGGAATCGGATGCACATGCCGAACGGCGGATAAGCTCGGCCAAACAAAGCAGCCGACGAGGGCTCGCCTTCAGGATCGAGCGTCAAAGGTCAATCCGGCTAAGACGCAGACATCGACCACGTAGACGAGGCATGACAATCGTCAACAGGCCAGCCGCTCGACGCGTGCTTCCGATCGACTCCTTTCCCGTCTTTCCGTTCTCAAATCCATTCTTTACGGGCCGAAAAAACAAAAACAAAAACAAAAACAAAAACAAAAACAAAAACAAACATCGCACAGGGACAGAGCTGCTTTCGAAAAGTGATAGTCAAGATTTATTACTTGGCTGCTTCTCTGTGGGCGTCTGACTTCGTCGGAGCTCCATGAACAGCCGTTGCGGCGATGCAATAAGTTTGATCGGATTCTCGCCATCCAAATGTACTTTGATTAATATTCATTAATCTGGTTTATCTATGCCAATTTGACAGGATCGAAGCTGCGTATTTATATTCGATATTTTTACAATAATCACCAACGAGCGCTTAAAAATTATTTGTAACAAAACAAATTTTGTAAGTGTACGTCTATACAATAATACATGGATTATCACGATTCTTCTCAATAACATTTTCTCAATTAATTTTCACTATACCGTGACGCTACATACATTTTGGACATATATATATATATATATATATATACGCATATGGAATAGGCACGCGCATTTGTGATTTTCAATAATTGAAATTTGAAATAAGATTTTGAAATCAAACAAACTGACTGTGCTTTATGCCTAACGATCAATTATAATAATAAAATTTATAAGACAATTATATAATTATGATAATATATAATTATACAATTATACTATTACAATAGAGTTATTAAAGAAATTTATTTATTCTTCATCATATTGTTTGATTTTGTGATTCCTCCAAGTGGCTATCCAATAATTATTATTTCTTTGAAGCGTCAACGTTTTGTACTTATAATAATTAACACAATTCCATATTTGTATATAAATACCAAGTAATACTGTGTAGGAATAATAAATTACCATTTTCTCTAGTCTAACTTTGATGAAGGACAAATTTAGTTGCCCATTATCTCATTTGCTCTATTTTTCTTCATCGATATCGTCCTCGCCTCAACAACTACATCATCGAATGTCTAACGATTCATTAAAACTCATGGATTTCGATGATTAAATGATTAATTCCAACTTTTGAATATTCGAATAGACCCTTCGAAAAGTCCCGCGTTATATAAATAATGATTATGCGATTTCAATATTTTCGTGGTAGTTTGGTAGTGCTGTTACGACATTTTTAGAGATACTGAAAAATGATTATTGCATTGATTTATAATGAGAAATACGAATTATTGATTATTATAATGTAAATGTAATGTATCTAATTTTTTTAATTAGCCTGATTAAGCTATATCATTTTTAATGATACCTAACAAATATGAACCAACATATATTATCTCACGTTGATAGCTTTTTTTTTTTTAAGATAATACTTAATCTTTTGATATTACTTCTTACAGAACTTTAGTTATAATATTCAGATTCTAAATGATGAAAAGTAAATTTTGTAAGTTTTGGATTAGTGGCGCTTTAAATAACTTAATAAAAGCCTAGACGAGCCTTTACTTTATATAATTGATTCTGTTATTTTATTAGACTCATATTTTTGTGTGATTCGGTATTTTATGTAAATACCGGTAAATAATACCTCTATTCGTGTGCTGAAATCTGAAAGTTAAAAAAACAAATTATCTATCACCTTGATAATTTTCATACCATGATGAAATCCAAATTTTCTTCACTCACATTTAAGAGCACCATAATTTTGTGATTGTTTTAATGATAAAAAATTACCGTCGTTTAATAGCGTGATTATTGAAATTTTAAATCTTTGATCATCAACGCAAATTGAAACCAATATAGACCGAATTGTTGGATGTATATTTTTCCAAATAAGAGCCTGATAATACGTTTTGAGAAGTTGGAATAGTATTTTTCAAGTATACTTAATGTCCACTGATAAAACATCACGTTAATTTTCTTAGAATATTTATTATTATAATTAAATCAATTGCTGAATTAAAAAAAAAAACAAACAAAAAAAATATTTATATTATCATTTGAAAAACGTACTTATCGTGATGCTCCATATCATTTAATTTTAATGAATTTCCATTAGTTTAAACTTTAATATTAATTCAACATTAAAATTAGATTTTTATTCATTTTGAATAAATAAAATTGTAATTCTACAGCTGTAATCAATTTTGCAGGATTGCTTAATAGATTTATTATATATGATAAAATACCTTCTTATAGTAAATATTACACAAACCATATATTTTATTAATCATTGTTTAATGAATTTAAAAATATTCGTCATATACACGCGCACATACACGCACACACACATACACTATATATATATATATATATATATATATATATAACTTAATGGAATTTTTCTTTGTCTATTTTATTATGTCTTATAGTAATTTTCTTACATTTTTACAATTTTTTATTATTCGTCTGCAATTAAAATATTGATTAAATAATTTTTGTCACGATTATTTATTTTAGATTTAAAAAAAATTTCCACTAAACTTACCGTATTATATAATACTTTATTTATGAATAAACCATATTTGTAGAAATGAAAATTATATTTAACAATAATAGCTGTATAAATTAAATTAATCGTCAGTTATTCTATATTAGCACATTTAAATTTAGTAAATTGGTTTTTAATAGTTTTTAATAGTAGTGGTTTTTAAATAGTTGACCGTTAAACAGTCAATGATAAAAGGTGTCCTCCCCATTTTATAACATTTAACGGTTGCTTATAATAAAATATTTTTATAGTATATTACAAATTTTTAGAAATCTTTTACAATTCTTAGTTGAAAGATGAGCAGTTAAAATAAAGTTAACAATAATCATATTTATTTATTTTAATATGTAATTACAAAATTTTTATCTGCCTTGTCTGCATTTTTTGTATTTCTTCTTTCTTCTTGTCTTATTGTATTTAAAATGTTGGAAAGCATAATACTAAAAAGGATTTTCTCATTTAACGAGTGATTATTTTTTTATGCTTTGCAGTATTGTAAATTATTATAAAATACTTTTGCACATAATGCTTGTTTTGTTTGTTTGTTTTGTGCTTTGTTTACTGACTGCTATAGTGTGAATTAATTTTCTGTTGAATAAATAGCAACGATATTCATTTATTATTAGTCATTCGTTTATGTCTAAAGTGAAAATTATAACAGAAATAGAAAAATAATAAATATAATATTCATGATTATATGATATTTTTTTATTTTTATGTTATGTTGATTTATGTTATATTATCGTTAATGCACATTTCTGGACAAAGGATTGGCATCTTCAATAATCAAATAAGACTTAGTTATGAGTTGTGAACTTAAATCTAAACATGGTTGAAAGTAATTTTTAGTGGTCAGAGTAGTTTTTGTCGATTAGTAGAGAATGTTGTAAATGTTTGAATTATCCTTAATGTATTGCAATCGATTATTGTATTTTTTTTTTATAATTGCAAACATTATTCTTTATATATTTGTAGGATAGATGAGAAACACACTAAATGTATAATCCAATGGATAACATTGGTAATTAAGTAACAGTGTTGTAATTAGTTTACTGCAATTTTTACTCGACTTCATTTGTTATTATAATCATTTGATAAAGCTTTATTAGCTTAGCCAATATCAGATATTTCTCTGTCCAACAAAGAAATATCACGGGACCCTCGACAGCCGTGCGATGTTAGTTGTGTGATAGTTATTAATAAGCAAGCTTATAATTATAGAGGCGAAGATAATGTGGAAACGCGTAGTTCGCTTTCGCCGTAATCAGCGCTTCTTACATTCGTTTGATAAGGCATGGAAAATGTAAATGCGCCTGTGTGTCAGTGAACCAAAGTTCATGAACAATGAAAAATTCTGGCATTATTAATGTTGCCTTACCTATATGTTGCGTTGCACTTATGTTGGGTGTTTAGCGAGTGCGATTATTTACATTCAGTGTTTTTATATAAAAACGAGCTTGACATTTCGGAAGGCCGAAACCTTAAGATTGTTTGCAATTAGACGTTGATTAGAGTTAAGTTATTATTGTTTATACATCAGTTTATATTTACAGGATGTAATGAGATTTTATTAAAATATTTTAAATTTGCTTTATTAAATAGAAATATTGTATTTAAAAAGTAAGATTGAATAAATTATTCTCTACGAATGAAATTATGAGCAGAACAAAAATAACTGAACAAAACAGAAATAATAAAATTAATGAGATGAAAAATTTTAAATGTCGAAGAACTGATCCGATGAATCGATAATATTAAAAAAAAAATTATAAGAAGCAAGTATCATATATTGTTATTGAAATTATGATGAAATTGGTGACGATTCTAATTCGAAATACTAACATTTTTTCTTCTTGAAATCGTATTTAGCTCATTCTGTACGGACACACAGCATAATCATTATTTGAAAATATAATTGACATATTAAAGGAAGTATTATCGAAATTATTAAACACACTAACTATTGTCTGAAATGGTCACTAAATATGGCTTGATAAATAAATAAATACCTATAGATCAGCAATGCGCTGCAAATGTTTTGCTTTTTATGTACAATGACACAATATATATTTACCACACATTTACGGCATTTTAAGAGTCAACTCATCTTCGCGAATTATATTGGAAAAGATAAAAGTATAAGGTACTGAGTATATTATAGTGTTAATATATATTATATAAAATATTCATAGTATGATATTATTTTATTAGGTTTATACTGTAAAAATTGTATTTAATTTCTTTTGTTTAGTTATTTCATGAGATCTCGTTGCTATAGGAGACATTGTTATACGTTTATTCATAATGTAAATAATTATTGTATAATTTTATTTGAGCGTCGTTTATAATTATAAATTGTCGTAATCGTTATTTTAATGTCCCATTGATATTAAAGATTTATTTAAAATTGTCGAAATTGATTTATTTTTACACTTAATAAAAAATTGTTAAATAAAATAGAAAATTAGAAAAACGATCTCCGTATAATTTAAACACTATCAGAATATTAAATAGTATTATTGAATTAAATTTTTTAATTTTAATTTCATTTTCATTTTTTTTCAAATAATTCTTTATGAAAATTTTGTATATAATAATTATAAAATTATTCTTTGTCAATTATCGATAAAAACTCTTTAGGAAATTTT